GGGGGGGGGGGGGATTGCACTGAATGAGGAGAATCATTGATTTGGTGCTTAAAAATGAGAATGGAAAAAATATTTAAAACAAGGGTATCTACTCTCACAGTAGGTAAGTAGTGATTTTTCTTATGACTGGAGCTGCACTCAAAGTACGGCGATGCGAGGCTGCGGGGAAGGGGGGGAGGGGTGGTTTGCACTGATTGCAGCAGGAGAATCATGAATTTTATACTGAAAACGAGAACGAAGAGAATCGTGAGCGGCGCACGGTGAACCGATTCAATGGGAGAAGTCGGACGAAATTTGGAAATTGCAAAAGCTTACGACTCCGTTAAATCAAAACTTTGAGATTATAAAAATGGTTCCTTTGGTCTAATCGTGAAATTTTCATGATGAAGCACTCCTCAAAATTCAAAATGTGACGAATTAACGTCATTTGCAGTTTTGGTCAAACATTCTATAGGTATTCGACCACTTTGATTTACTCGATCCACCGTGCGGCGGGGAGTGAAGGAGGAACGTTCCTCAACAAGTGTAGTGAGAGGCTTCTCGGAATTATTCGAGAAAACATTCGAAGAAGAAAGGGCGGGGGGAGCACGGAGTGCCTAAGAGTTCGATTGATAATGAAGCGAGTTGGCGGACTATCACAGGGGAAAACCGAAGCGCAGAAAGAACAGAGCGAGAGAATCAGAACGAAATGAGCTGAAATCGCTCGGGCGGCGGGCCTCAAAGTCGAATTCCGAAAAATAGGTACCTGACAAAACCCAAGTGTTGAAAGAACAGAGTGAGAGAATCAGAATGAAACGGGCTGAAATCGCTCGCTCGGACCTCGAAACCCGAGAAAAACTCTCCTTATCTACCTACTAGACCGCCAGCAGACAGTCAGACATCCGGTGGGGTGTCTCGCCCGCCGCCCTGTCGCCACCAATTCCTTCGGACTCCTCGCTGTTATCTCATGTCCAAGACGAATCAATCAAAATTTCGATGCCGCCGCTCACCCTATCATTGGAATCTGGCGGGAACCTTACTTTGAACGAAACGAAACGAAACGAGAGTGTTCATCACCTCTCCTCCCCCTCTTTCAACTCTCTCTCTCTGATCTGATAGAAGACGACGAGAATTTTTAACGTCGAAAAATGCCAACAGGTGTCTCCATTGCGATGCTCGAAAAATCCGATTGTGGATATTTTAAATGCCTGGGTACAAGAAAAGTGACCGAAACACTTGCGCCAAAGTTTCTGTAATTGCCGCAGATTGTGGAAAATGTACCTACTTCTCGGAAATTTTTTTGGGCAAATTTTGGTTTCGGATACGTCGTAGAGTTAAGAAGGTCCAGTTGATTTGGAACAGTTCTCACGCAACATTTGTCATTTGAAATGTCAGACACATTTTAATTTCGGAATTTCACCGAAACTCTAGGGAAAACTAGGTATCCATTTTTTTGGAAAACAATTTTTCTATCTCGAGAAAACTTCTTTCTTCAAAAATCCAAACCAAGAAGAAACATGGGGGGGAGGGGGGAGGGGGGGGCTAATGGAAGTTTTTGAACCAGGCACATAATTCACCAATCAAAAAATTGTTTCGAGATAATTTACCAAAAGAAATTTTTCGAGAAAATTCGCCAACAAATTGATTCAAGAAAATTCCCAAAAAATAAACGTATCAAGAAAATTCACATAAGTGAATCAAAACACCCGATCAAGAAAATTGCTTGAATATTTCTCGTGCAATTTTTCTGGGCAAGAATGATAATCCAGTGAATTGCACAGAAGCTAAAGCTACCAAAAGAAATTTTTCGAGAAAATTCGCCAACAAATTGATTCAAGAAAATTAAAAAAAAAAAAAAAAAAAAAAAAAAAAACGTATCAAGAAAATGCACATAAGTGAATCAAAACACCCGATCAAGAAAATTGCTTGAATACCTCTCGTGCAATGTTCCTGGGCAAGAATGATAATCCAGGGAATTGCACAGAAGCTTAAGGGGCAAGGAAGGTATGAAACTCCATACTTAGTATATACTCCAAAATATCGTCGCACGACTTAGGTAATATCGAATCAATTTAAAGAAATTACCGGATGAAAAACTTCAGGTTCCTCACACAAGGAAATACCTGCATCATCTGAATTTTTGATTGAAAATAGAAAAAAACACACACATCAGGGAGAGAAGAAAGGAAGAATCACAGAGAGGAGGAAAATTATCATAGAAAATTCCTGACAAAAAGTGATCAATTTGAAAAAGGGCGCATATCTTAGTTCTTGAATGTTTAAGAAAATTTCCTACAGCATAGGTAGGTACAGGTTGACTCATTTTGACAGTATTGGCGACAATCAATGTATATGGAATCAAGATATGATGAAAAATATGCCCGCTTCTTCTGTGCTTTACATCAAACCTACACATTGGTAAGTATTTTGTCTCTCATGTAGAAATTGATCTGGTGAATAACAGATGCACCATTTTTCAAATTGGTCGTTCAAATACATTATGACATCATAAAAACGGTAATCACTTCAAAGATGGGCAGAATTTAAATCATAGGTAGATACAGTATCTCAAACCTCGATTCCAGTCCGGAATCAGTCGAACCAGAGATCTCAGCAGAAAAGTTGAAAGCAGGGGCCAAGTTTTTCATCACGCCAGGGACTGCCATGATTGAAAGTCAGACGAACCCGACCGAATCGCGTATCGCGACAATCACGAATCGTTCATACAAAAGTACAATATTACACAATAAACACTGATTCCACGGCGAGAACATAGACGAAACTCTCGAAAGCAGTATTAACAACGCCAACGACTCAAATCCGATGAGGAATTTCACGAAATTGCGCGGGAAGGGAAGACCACCCGGACCGAATAACGTCAAAGTTCATTGCGATTGTCTATTTTTCGCGAAACGCGACGCAATAAGAATCCTTCCGAAGGTAAACGCACACCGAAAATTCGGACGCGAAACTTGAAAGTCGGATAATATACTAAGAACTGAAAAAGTAATGAATGAAAGGTAGGAACCGAAGTTAGGAGCACGGTGCCGGAGGAATTTAGTATTTACCGTCACGTACGCGACTAGTAGCGAAGAATGGCCGAATTTTCGCAGACTTGCCGGCAGGATGGAACCAGCATGAGGGGTGGAGGGAGGAGAGTGAAATAGTTATGGAGGGGAACGGGCGGGAAGCACGCACCGACGTGAATGAGTGTAGAGTGTAGGGGAGGAGTGTGTGTCTCCTCTCTTCGTCAGACTTACCTACGGACAGGGTTGCAAAATTGCATGAAAAGTGAAATGTAGTTTTAACTGTGAAGTACATACCTCTCTATTTTAGTTAATTTCATTGCTCAGGAATTCAATCAGTGAGAACGACAACACACCAACTCGGTGCATAGCTCGAAAATTCTCACTTGTCACTAAGGACAGTCAATTTTCATTCTTTACCTTCTGTGCAGTTTTGTGTGCATCTTGATTATTTTCATTTTTTCAAGTTGGTGTGTTTTCGTTCTCACTGATTCAGTTGAGGATTGAGGAACTTTCGATAGATGGACGTAGGTATGCTGCTAAGGAACCACGCCGTATGAGCCTTCGGGTGTTGCCAAATTTCCTCTTGCAAATCACTAATTTACAGGAAAATTTTTTTCCCAAGTTAACATATACCCGTGATTCAATGTCTTTGCATATACCTAATTTTGTTTGTGATTTTATATGAAGTATCAGAGAATTTCAAGGAAAAATATCGATTATTTTCCTCAAAAATAAACATTTTATCGGAGGAAACTGGGAAACTCTCGAATGTTCGTTCATACGGTGTTTTTCCTTAGCACGGCAGTATTATGAGGCTTCCAATGCTGTTACGATTTTCACATCTAAATGATAAATTCACCAACCAGTCAGCCGAACTTCCTTTTTGACCAGGGCCAGATTTGTGGGGGGGGGGGGGGGGATGGGCCGCGGACCGAGGCGGCAAATTTTGAGATTTTTTCAAACAGGCATAAAACAAAATATTTCAGATTCGAAATCGATGATAAAAGTCGACGTACCGACCTACGTCATCAACAAAATTCAATGATGCCCGAAATGCAAACACCTCCTTTTTTTCTCCATGACCGATCTGTGTGGATTGGGTTCGGTGATTTTTCAAGCTCAAGTGGCGTGGTCGAACTGACATGCGATATATCGCATCGATTGGGTCATAAATCTCAGCAGATGTTGAATTTGTAGTTTAAAAGAGGACGACAGCCCCTGCGCATAAGCCTTAAGAATCATTCTAAACCCAAAAATTGGCAAACTTCAGAGAAATGAAAGCAGAACCAATGGTATTTGGAAAAAACCTCGCATTCGATTCAGCTATCGATTTCTGTATCGAGTGCGAGGTACTTTTCCAAATATTATTTTGCTTTCCTTTCTCCGAATTTTTGGGTTTAAAATGATTCTATAGGCTTTTGCGCAGGGGCTATCGTCCTCTCTTTCACTAAAAATTCAAAATCTGCCGAGATTTTTTACGTAATTCAGTAATTGAGGCGATCTATCGCATGTCAGTACCAGTTCGACCAGTTCGACCACGTCACTTGATCTTGAGCTTGACGAATCATGCCGGGAAAAAGAATGTTATATTTTCATCCAAGAAGGCAACGCCGTCCATGTTTTGTTTGAGTCTTGTTTACATTGCCGAGTGAAAAATTTGAAAGTTTGAATTGAGGAGTATTTACCGTGTTTTATCCTAGGAAATAAATTGTTCTCTTTGATTTCAAATTTGCAGGAAGTCTCCTGCAACGTCTCGACCCGTGTATTTGCGTTTTGCGTTCATTTTCATCGATTCCTACCCTGATACTTCATCATTCAATCTTCTTAACTTCAACAGTAAGCTTCACATTGTACTTAATCCTCACTTTTACTACATAATAAGCCAATTATCACTCATTTCCCCCCTTCAAGTCCTTTAGGTCTTGCTACCATATGAAGGTAAACTCTTCTCTCAATATACACGAATCTCAGTTTCGTTTCCCAAATAGTATGTAAGTATGTTCCTACGAGTATCGAACTTCAGGAATGAATATCGATGGTGTGAGTCCACAATCACATAACTCGGTTTGAGACGTCTCAGACTTCCTATCATACTTTATTTTCTAAACGGAAAACTGCTCCGCGGCTATTCTTTAAAACTGCCTTGTTATCTCTTCTCTGTGCGAAGGAAATTCTGCAAAAACTTCTAGGAATCATGTCAATTTGTTCTCCTTTTAAAAGTAACATTAAGGCTGAGATTTTCAGACGCCGCAGACGAGTCATGTGATTGCCGACTTACACTGTCGTTACGCATCAGCTTGTCCTTGAGGTGATTCGATGGACGCCATATTTTGTGTCAGAACAGCATGCGATATATCGCATTAATTGGCTCCATTTTTTCAGCTCCTTGTCATTTTTCTCCAATTTTGAGATTGCAATTCTATTGTCAGGAGACTAAAGCACTCACTTATCAATTTAACAAAGAAATTCAACGTAATAAAGGCGTGGTTTTTTCAGAGAGAAAACATCGCATTTGATACTGATATCGAAACTGCCCTCGAATGCGATATTTTCTCTCTAAAAGAACTACGCCTTTATTACGTTGAGTGAGTGCTTTAGTCTCCTGACAACAGAATTCCAATCCCAAAATTAGAGAAAAATGACGAGTAGGTAGCTGAGAAAATGGAACCAATTGATGCGACATATCGCATGCAGTTCTGATACAAAAGATGGCGTCTATCGAATCACCTTAAACGCACTGCAAATTTTTTGATCAAATACCCATTCACTCTAGAAGTTGGGTGCTTTTAAAAATGCAGAACAGAGCAAAAGACGGTTTATTGTTGGTAGATATAACAGAATCTCAATTACTATGCTCTCATGAAGAGGTTGGATAAGCTTTTTATCGGCCAGTGAACGAATGGAAATTTTTGAGTCAGATTTCATAGGCGCGAATATTGCACCATCAAAACATTGCTGAATTCTCATCATTACGTCAAACAAATGAAGTACTAAGTTACAAAAGTCTCTACCTCTTTCATTCAAGTGCGGATCCAATGTTTGTTGAAATGCTTGCTCAAATGTAGAGCTTGTGCATCGTATGTTGAGACAAACATCAATCTCTGATGAGCTCTAAATTAACACCTCTCAACATATTAATACATGTAGTCAGATGGCACCACTGATGAGTGGTGACATTATGAATACTTTGATGTTTGTCTCAACACGCGATGCGCCAGCTCTATAACTTGGTAGAAGTCCTCACCTTCCGGCCAAAGTATCACATGCTATGCGGTGGTTAAAAATTTCCGTTGCCATTTTATTTTTGTACACAGAAATTTTTGGTTGAATCTGTTTGAAAATTTCTTTGAATTCCATTGGCAGCACAAAAAAAATTTGTTAAATTTTTCTGACAGTTTTGATGAACAATTTCTCTATAAAAAAATAAAATGACGGAGGAAATTTGTAAACGTCGCATGACGTTTGTGATACTTTGGCTGGAAGTTAACGAAGTATTGTTGCTTACGTTGACATTTGCTTACTTTTGACTGTCACGCATAGTGGACAGATTTACGTCTCTTTGAACAGTGATGGTATTGCTTGCAAAGGTTGCTTGCTGCGGTCAATCATCAATTGCTACCGGACGACTGCAATGCAGCCACTTGCCAAAGGAAAGTAAACAGTTGTCAACTTAGCTGACAACACCTCTGACACCTCTCTCTAAGTTTGATACATTGGAGATGCTCATTTAACTACCCGTCCCAAATTTCATCTTGAGATCTATAGGATTGAGAGTTCAATGTCCTTTGAATGATGGTGAAAGTAAGTACTGCCATTTCAGTCGAGACTGAATGAGAACTAGATATTGTCAAGCCCTGTTTATTTCACATCTGAGTGCACTCTCTGATGATATTGTTGCTGCTGTCAATAGTGATTTTGAATTGGTCCTTTTGCCTTTATTTATTGTATTCTTTCCATCCTATAGGGTGAGAGTTTAATTGTGTTTTTTTTTGGGGGGGGGGACGACTCTGCTAACAAGTGGGACGAGTCCAACAAGTGGCTTCTGAAAATGACCATTATTTTAACTTAGTACCTATTAATTTCAATTATGTATGAATAGTCCCCATAATTCCTCCCAACTTTTTTTACAGGTAAAATGGCAGTATCCATTCCAACAGATTCTTTGTATTCTGCGCTCAATTCTGTGAAGAAACTACGCACTTTCATGGGAGACCTATTCAAAGTTTTATCAAGTGGTGGCGTTGGTTGCGAAAAGGCTGATAAGTTTTTGGATAGCAAATTTGTCGAAGATGTGCAGGACTACATAAATAAAATCAATCAGGCTTTCAGGTTTGTCAGGTGTCATTGCATTATATTCACTTATCTTTTTCTGTTGACAACTTAGGTACTTGAGAGTGAAATGGCCAGTGTCCATGCAAGTGTAATACGTACACATGTGTAATGTACCTGTGATACCTGCCCTGATGTATAGGGGTACAAAATTTGGCGACTGTCGAAATGATAATGTGGAGGTGGCCAAGAAGGGGTTTTTGAAATGCAAATGCACTGCTAATTTTTGTAAATGAAATCATTTAACTTGCATTCTCTGAGAGGGAAACTGCTACGTTCTTCACTTTCAGCGCAGTGAACTGTGTTTTTTATGCTAAAAAAATGCTGAAGTGCGCAGTCTTATGCAGACAGCAATGTGAATGCTGTCTCAAAAAATGTGAAGGGAAAGAAGTCTTGGGGGACAGAACTGTGAAGACAGCCCTAAAATATGTGGAGGCTGCCTCAAGAAGTGTGAAGGCAAAAAACATTTTGCACCACAGCTGATGTCGGGACTTTGGTTGCCACAATCCAAAGGCGTTCATTTATTTTGGGTATGCTGCCAACTTACAAAATTCAGTGTTTAGAATGAAGTATATGAACTTTTTTTGTGTAGTTATTTAATTTAGCATTTTCTACTTTTTCAGAGACCTTGAACAGTCAACAAACAACCTTTCTGCGCCTGCTGGGCCGTTCAGTCTTGGAAATTCTGCATTGCTGAGCCAAGAAAGTGTTCCAAATAAGCAGGCTCTTTACAAGCAACTTGTGAAATCTTTCAAATGGAATGACAAGGTAATTTGTTTTCTTAGAATAAAGGAAAGGTACCCTGTAAAGTGGGATCAGGGATAATGTAAAATGTTTCTCAAGTTCAAGTATCCATTGAATAATTTTTGTTGGAATTGGGAATAATCAAAACATATAAAATTTTCAGCGTTTCAGCTCCACTTAAAGCATATTTTATATCTCGATCGGACACAGATTTTGTCTCCCAAGATGGCGGGTCATCGATCGGTGATCGATGTGGTTTTTCAGTCAGCAACTTTTCTAGCCAATCAAAAAGCTCTGGAGGCTGGAGATGCTTCCAATCGTATGTATGCAATTGATGTGTCGGACATCATAAGCAGTACTTGCGATGAAAGGAGAGACATATTTCTTTACATTCTTAACTACAAGTCACAATTTACGAAAACCTTATTAATCACCACATCTCTCTTCACAACATCACAATCGAGCGAGACCACGAGGAGGCAGTGTTAGGTCGCCGACCGAAAAATTGTCCAATCAGATGAAAGGAAGTTCCCAACCTCCACCTCGGAAGCAGGATACAACTTTTCGCTTCCGGTTTTTGATGACTGAGCTCTGATTGGTCTGTGGTATGTGATGCCAATGGTGAATGTACGTTACCGTACGCGGAAGATCTGACACAAAATAAAATGCAATCAGGGTACTTCCGACACAAAATCTGCACCTGATCGAGAAATAAAATTTGCTTTTAATGGTAGCTTAAAATTAATTTTAAACTCTTAAGAACATGAAACAGGTTAGGCAAGTAGTAGCATCAACTTGAGACTTTCGAAAAGTGGATCAATATCACTGGAAGAGTTGGGATACCCAAATTGTAGTTAATGAACTGGCAAAATACGTTGTTCAAGAACTCAAATCAATACCATGCCTTGCAAAACAAGGTTTTTGGCAGTTTATCAACAAGACATGCTCAAGGATTTCCACTTCTCCACTGATAGCATCGCCCCATTCCCTCCTAAAGTTCCTTTCAAAGATCAGGAAAAGTAATTAGACTACTGCAACTCAAACAAAATCCAGTTGATTAGTGCGGTAACAAAGGAAACAATAAGATGTGAAATCCTGCCCGCCCAACAAACAAAAGTCGCCTTCAATCCTGCAGAGTACAGTGCACTATCTCAAATTGTAAGTTTATTAATTTGTCCACTTAAAGGGTCTAAGTAAGCGCCAAGTATGGCTTCAATTTAGGAATTAAGTTTCATTCTAAGTTTTTGAGGAAGATTGTGATTTTTCCTTTGAATTATCTATTCCTATGCTATTGCTCTGCATATGATTTCGAACACTGAAACTCAGAGATGCTGAAAGTCTCATGTCTCCCTCATTTTAAATCAAAATTCATGATCAATTCCTTCGTGAAAATAGAAGAAAAACCTTTTCCCCCAAAAGCTGGACTCTTCCTCTCCTGAAAACGCAGTTCAAATGAAAATTTAAACAAATTAAAACTTAGTTCTCCCATTCCTCGCAAATAGGTTGGTCTGAAAGTTTCTACATCCGTGCTAAAATTTTTCACACCTTTTAAACACTATTTAAAATTTTTCTTAAGCAATGAATTTAAATTTGTTCATTAAATATTTCATCTGTATTTTTGGAAGTCACCTCATGCATTCTTATTTTATTCTGAGTTGCTGATTTTTTTATTTCTCTGTGTTTTGCAAAGGTTCATGAATACAGTGCAATGTCTTTGCCATTACTCAGTTTCAATCTCTTGAAAAGATCACATGCAAATTCCAGCCCTAAAAGACGAAGGATTCAACCAAACTGTCATAATGTCCCTCCGCAGTAAGTATTCTTTTTAACGCCCCTCCTCAGTAAGTATTCTTTTTAACCATTCATTAACTGGACAGAAGCCTTCTTTACAAAGACCAATCAAAGACAAGATCCTTCAATTATTTAATCCTTGAGAGTACACCATGATGATGAGAAACTTATTGTAGATCTATCAAGGTGATTCGATGGACGCCATATTTTGTGTCAAAACAACATGCAATATATCGCATCCATTGGTTCCAATTTTTCAGCTACTCGCCATTTTTCTCGAATTTTGAGATCGCAATTCTGTCGTCAGGTGACTGAAGAATTGACGTACCAACTTTGACAAACAAATTCAACGTAATAAAGGCGTGGTTTTTTTAGAGGAAAAATATCGCATTTGATACTGATATCGAAACTGCACTCGAGTGCAATATTTTTCCTCTTAGAAAACCATGCCTTTATTGAGTTAAATTTGTTTGTCAAAATTAGTAAGTGAATTCTTTAGTATCATGACAACAGAATTGCGATCTCAAAATTCAAGAAAAATGACGAATGGCTGAAAAAATGGAACCAATGAATGCGATTTATTGCATGTCGCTCTGACACAAAATATAGCAACCATCAAATCACCTGAAAATGTTAAAATTGCTCAAGAATCATGAATCAATCGGAATTTACCATAAATAGGAGGAAAAAGCACCGACCACTGATCTGTATTTTGTCAAATAGATACATGCATACGCAACCATGGCCTCCCTAAGGAAGATTCAAAGATTCAAGTATTAACTTTTAAACTTCCACAATATTTAAACTTTTCTACAGAACACATATTCCGAGAGCTTTTGCTATAACGTGGACAACATCTTAACAAATTCTCCTGCACCCTTGTACAGTTACCCATTTATTTCAATCAAAATTTCATCCACTCAGTTTTAGTTACAGGGTCTAGACCAGGAAAATGCAGGACTCATTAGGGAATGGAAAACTTCAAATCAGGAAATCTGTTCCAGAAACAAGATTTCTCTTCATTTAATGTTTAGAGACTAATTTCTCCTTTTGGATGTCTTTATACAAATATATTAGTTTGTATTGATTAAAAGCTTGGATTTGCATTTTAAAATGTTTTATTATCAAGAATTCTTTAGAAGTTTTGTGGAGTCTGTTAAATGAAATCTGCCCAAGTTTTAATTTTTAATTATGCCTATCAATGGCCACAGTGCTGAATCAAGTTTGCTCATTGCATTGATTCAAAATTTCCATTCCTATTTTAGTTTATGAGAGAGAAACAAGTCAACTTTATAGCTTGACTGATTCAGAATATTCTGCCAGCAGAGATGAAAAATCAGAGAGTTTTCAAGAAATTCCGTCAACTAGTATTTGAATGAATAAACAAAATATCACAGATAGTCTTCAATGTCGTAAATGGAGATTCAGGGTTTCGCACTTTGGCCATTCATATGCAGCCATAAGCAATGATGATGCTTTCATTTTATAATTTTTCATTTATTTTTTCTTTTCATAGTAACTCCTATTACATTATTTTTAATTTGTTGAGTTCATTCTTTCTCACTGGAAAAAAACGTATTTTCAATTTGTCTCATCGTTTCCAGACTTCATTAGGCCTACTATCGACTTTTTCCTATCTCGATATTCCGTTTTAATGACCCAAATTATTCTTTTGCCCAACAGAGTTGTTGACAGTGCTATTGCGTTTGTTGATCGATTGTTTCCTAATATGACAATGTCAGTGACAAGACCATACACATCCAATGCTGTACTGCAGGTAATTTAACATTTACTGTGAAGATTCTTCTCTTCCATTTATGTTTAGGGCTGTTCTTTCGGTTGTTGGTAAGCTACCGAAACAGTTCTGTCAAGAAAAAGTTACAATAAGAGTGCCTATACCGATAGGGATCTGAGTTTTCGGAGCTGACGAAAATAAGCCGTTGCCATTTGTACATCTATTTTACGAGCCGTCAAACCAGGCAATCTGACAAACCAACACATGGGGCAACAATGCATTTAGTGCGAGCTCTCAAAACTCCGATAAGGTTGGCTGTTAACGATATCATTGCCACTGTTGGTACTGCTACCAATTTCGGTAAGAGACAATACCAATAGTGTTCCAGCAAGAATTCGTTTGAACACCCCTACTTATGTTTAGCCGCCCATTGCACGCAGTATTTGATACCGTCAAATGAACCCGAAACTCTGAACCTATTGAACGAAATTTAAATAAAAAAGAACTTTATCCATTGCAACATGAGCCCTTTCATGCATGTTGGTATTCTTATACGGCTCTCAGGGCTCTTGTCAGAATGGATACAGTTCCTTTTGAATTAAATACATCCTATTGGAGGTCTTCTGTGGCATAACTTTTTCAGTTTGCACATCTCGTGGTATGAGGCTTAACCCATTTATTTACACTGACAGCTTGGAGTGTGCATCAGATCATGAACGCCGAGCAGAACATTGGGAATGAAATTATGACCTAACTGCTTGTCCGGTATGGTCATGTTCAACGAGTGGCGGATGACAGATTGCCTAAGAAGGTACTAGATTGGGTTCCTCCTGGGAGAAGACATAGGGGACGTCCACCAAAATCGTGGATAGGTGGCATTCAAGATGAAATCACAAGATGCCATTTACCAGATGACCTCTGGATCGATAGGCAAGGATGGCGATTAGGTGTTGCAGAGCGCCCGGGTGTGCTGTAAAGCGACTCGAATGTATGTATGTACGCTAGGAGCCATGTGTGCTGCCAGTGTGACCAATACTAAGGGCAAAATTGAGCGTTAATTGGACTGCATTTTGCAAATTGAAGCTACAATTTCTGTCTCAGTTTAAAAGCAAGTATGTATCATTAGTTTCCCCATGTACGTAAGTATTTTTATGGATGAGCCACAAATTTTAGATTTAAATTGCAAAATGCAGTCCAATACTGGGTGCAGCAAGGTCGCATTAATGCCTTATGAAGTCAGAGTGTTGAAGAATGTCTTGTGCCTATCATTCTTTTTATCTAATCGCAAGCACAGCTACTACCATTAAAAAGAAACATTTTGCTTGCTCCAAGTTTTGTATTCTCTTTTTTGATGGCCTGGCTACTTGCTTTGAAAGAGATGGACACTTTTGGAGCCAAGTGAAAAGTCAGTCATGTGATATAATGATACCCAAGGTCTGGGTTTCTCTAAAATTTGAGGTTGGAAAGCTACATGTTTACATTTTTTCTTTAAAACTATGTTCCAAATTGATGCAGTGATTAATTACGCAGAGTTAGAGATGAAGCATTAAAATACATATTTTAAGATTTCTCATCAACATTTCAAATGGACGTATTTCTGTCAAACGGATTTAAGCGCCATAGGGGGAGGAAAGTAGAGGAGGGCTTTGATTGGCGGCGGAACCGGGCGTCAGGCTCATTACGTCCTATACTCGCAATGCTTTTCCATGGCGCTTAGTTCTGTTTGACAGAACGCGCTATCCTGCATTCTGTATTCCTCAAAGGGAACTCAAATTGGTGCTTAGTTCCGTTTGACAGAAATACGTCCAAATATAACATGGTGGTCACATTCATCAAAATTTCTAAAATCAACTCATGATAAGAAACCTGCGCTGCCCACCTGGTAAAGAAAATCTACCTGTCTGCCAACAGAAGCCTACTTCAAGTCAAATTGAATTTACAGTTAATTTCAGTGTTAAAATTTGATGGAATCGTCATATATGATGCTGAATTTTCGCTAAAAGCTCACATGTGCTAGCTACAATATGGTTTTATCCACACTACTACGAATTATGCGACTTATTATTTATTGCTTGCAGCACTGTGCCTTGGCTGAAAGTTGATGAATGTGATGCCAAAAATGAAGACTCCAGTATCATCAAAATTTCATAATTCATTTTACTGTTCTGAAATCTCTCCTTACTGTATAACAATTTTAGTCGAATGCTGATCGCTTGAAATCGGTCCTAGCTTTTCTCTCTAGGTGTGAACTAAAATTGAATAGAATTTCAAACTAACTTACCAGTTGTTTCCTTTTTAAACGAATACTTAAAATATAAGAGAGGATATCAAACCATGTCACAGGTTTCATTGTTTTTGGAATTGGAGACTGCGTATGCAGACTAAAATTAATCAGAAGGTAGAACTTGTGTCAGTTGTGTTGAAATTTGTGTTTTTTCTGTTTAAAAGCAACTGCGTTGCCATCATTAAATAACAGTCTAGAATTGACCAAGAGCGCAGTCATTGCTGTGTGTAGGTTTGTAAGTTGGTTTGCCTCACGTAACATTCAGAAGTAAATAAATGTCACTGTATCTGACGCTAGCCTTATTTTCTTTTGTTTTAATTTTGCAACTTGATACCTCTGTCATTTTTATTTCTTTCTTTAATTTTTCCTTTTTAAAATCATTCACTTTTGTTCAATCTTCCCTGTTTAATTACAGATAACATTAGGAAGAGTGTTCCAAGGTCTAATATCATTCAAAGGTCTAATGATTGAATGGGTTATGATCAAAGGGCTGGGTGAGCAGCTGGATCTATGGACAGAATCACGATACAAAGTATTCCAAAAAGTTACAGAGAACACTCACGCAGCAATGCTCCATTTTTACTCACCAACTATTCCAGATTATGCTATCAGGTCATTCATGGTACGTCATTTATAAATTAATCCACGAACTCATGAATCCACACCAATGTTGGATTTACTAGGTCACGATTACAGCCTAAAGGTAGGAGTCGGTCCTGTGATTAAAGCAAGACAGTTTGGAATGTAAAAAAGTACGAGAGGCTGTAAAACTTGTCTACTAGATAGTTAGGTATTGATTTCATGGCTTACGGGGAATCATCAGGAATGTTTTGGTCTAAACAACATTTGAAGTTCGCAGCTCTGAAGACATAGTTTAGACAGAAAACTATTATCTGCTGTATGATTGAAGCTGGGCACTATGGTCTGGGGGCGCCGAATTGTGGCCATAAATCAGGAAATGATCAGAATATCATGAAATTTTGTGTATTTATGTTTTTTGGGTCGCTGAATTCAAATTTGACCTTAGTTTTACAAAATTCTTAAATCCAAGATGGCGGCAGGCCCTTGAAACCAAAAAATTAGAAGAAAAGCCAAAATATGATTAGAATACCAAATTGAATGTCAGTTTAATGTTTTGAAGGTTGTCTCACTACAATATAAAATCTATTTTTCAATGATCAAGAGGTTATCAGGGCAGAAGCCCCAAAAATACGTATTTAATCCAGAAAAATAAGAGGAGAAGAAATGATTGAAATTGAATCAGGTCAGTACTATGTTTTTCGGTCTATTGATCCTGACTGGAGCGTAAGTTAAAAAAATTGCACATACAATATGGTGATATTCGTGTTAGCAAGACATATGGCATTAGCCCTTTAGGGCGCCCCCTCCCCGAACCAAAAATTGTCCCTAAAAATTTTCATTTCTAGCGATTTTTTAAAAATAATTTACTCTTTGATCATCAAACCCTGCTAGCAAAATTTTCTAGATATACTCAATACTACTTATACCTAAATAGCTTTGACATTCTTATACTCATTGGAGGCTGTCAACCATTCTGCGCTGATTTTCATGGTTAGAATTATTATAAAGATTCTAGGCCTAATGAATCATGGCCAAAAATCCGATTTTTGAAAGTACGAAAATCTGGCAATCGAGCATATAATCCTTATCTACATCCTTTAGTAGGTGTGAAATGACCTATCAAATCTTATGTAATTGTTTTTACGATCAGATATATGGTGGCGAACTTCACATCCTCCGAGGTAAGTAAACAAACGTGAGAATTTAAAGTGCACGTTATCGTGTATTGCCTTGTGTCGTTTTGTGATAAGTTGGCGTAAATCCCCGATCAAATATGGACAAGAAAGGTGAAAGTAAGTACTTTTTGATGGTTTAATCGTTTTTATTATTAAGATTAATTTTATGACCACCATGAGACTCCAAAGTTTTGTCCTAATTTAGGCAAAAAATTGCCTTCACCTTAAGTTTTAGTTATCACTAACACGAGCTAACACGTTCTTATCAGTGCAAGAATGTAGCTCATATGTTCCTCTAACAGGATATCATAGGTTTTTTTGCATCTTTTTGCCTCTGGGGTCTTCAGACCCAGACCCAGATCAGACCCTAAAACCTTGCGGATTACCATTCTCGGGTTGCCTAGCCAGGAATTGAACTCGGAACCTCTTGATCTTAAAGCCAGCACTCCAACCACTACGCACCACCGTATCCACCATTTGTCGTTTTTCCGGAGAAAATATTATTTTGCTTAAAAATGAGGTTTTTTGCAAAAAAACTTTATTTTCCGGAAATCTGGCAAGTGCTGGAAAAAACTGATATCATTTTCGGATTCAGCAGCCAAAAATACATATGAATCACCCTATATCAAACGTTGACCTTGTCTCATCTCTCTTATCTCCTTCTGCAATGAAATCAGATTGCGCAGAAAATCGTATAAGTCCTTCACTAAAATGACCAAAAAAGGCCCCAGACGCAAAAATACGCAAAAAAACCTGTGATATCCTGTTAGAGGAACATATGAGCAACATTCTTGCACTGATAAGAACGTGTTAGCTCGTGTTAGTGATAACTAAAACTTAAGGTGAAGGCAATTTTTTGCCTAAATTAGGACAAAACTTTGGAGTCTCATGGTGATCATAAAATTAATCTTAATAATAAAAACGATTAAACCATCAAAAAGTACTTACTTTCACCTTTCTTTTCCATATTTGATCGGGGATTTACGCCAACTTATCACCAAACGACACAAGGCAAGACATGATAACGTGCACTTTAAATTCTCACGTTTGTTTACTTACCTCGAGGATGTGAAGTTCGCCACCATGTATCTGATCGTAAAAACCATTACAGAGGATTTGATGGGTCATTTCACACCTACTAAAGGATGTAGATAAGGATTATATGCTCGATTGCCAGATTTTCGTACTTTCAAAAATCGGATTTTTGGCCACAATTCTGCGCCCCCAGACCATAGTGCTGGGTATTGTTGGATAGTAATGCATCTTTACTTCTTCCATTGATAGAGTCCCAGAGTTTTTGATGATTTGAAGAACCTGGAAAGTCAGAGAATCTATTTTGACTTGGAAAAGTCAGGAAATTTTGCAAGTCGGTATAGCAAGTTCAAATGATGCCATTCAGGAGAGCGCAAACAACTTTGGGGGACCTTTTCTTTCTGTTGAATCTCAAGAAGTGGAGTTTTTAATCATAGTTCAGCTTAAGTATCTAAGTGTAATTAAAAGGGAAAACATTTAAATGGAGGCTTTGATCAAAGATTAGTGAAAGTCAGGGAATCGAATATTTTGGAGTCAAGAAAAAGCCAAAATAGTCAAGGAGAGTTAAGGAATTGGCAAATGAAAAAATTATAGAAATCCTAAGTAGCGAACGAAGCTACCTGAAATTGCTTCTTTGAAATATTAGTGATAGTTTCCCTAACAAAAAAAATAAATTCCAAATGCTTGAACTAAACCAAAAAAAATTTTCCTCTGTATACATTTCATTTTGGAGAATGGATCCAAAATCGCCTTCCAGGACTTACAAAGTATAAAAAAGTCTTAACTTAGGAAATATGTGTTCAACTGATCGCAAACATTCAGACACAATGAAATTCCAAGTACCTATGCATGAGTCTTTGCGTTTATCATTCAAAATGACCGCAGAACGGCTGATAGATTTTTGGATACTTTGCATTTTTTCGTTTGAAAATCTTGAATTTCTGCTGAGTTTTCATTTGAAAACAACACGAAGCAACGGATTTTAGGACTGATGACTCCCAACACTTTTCTTATTTGGATGGGTACTTTCATCACCTGTCAAGGCCTTTAGGTTAGGGTTGATAAGCTTATTGCTCTACTTTTAGGTCATCGATCATCATTAGGTGAATCGGAGCGTTGACTTCTGAAAGTAACTTTTAATTGATAGTTGAGATAACAGGGTGGGGTCTCAGAAACATTATGTCTCTGACAACCAAGAAGCTTATCTCTAACCAAGAAGCTTATCTTCCTCTCTTTAATGAGGCTATAAAGAATAATTTAAAAACGGATGCATGCAACAGTTTCTGAGTATTTTATGCATGTATTTGACAGCTCATTAATTTTTAGGTTTGTTTTTCTCTTTTTCTGTCAAATAGACTTGGCTCCACAGTTACCAGTCTTTGTTCAGTGATCCTTGCAAAAGCTGTCACAATCATCTGCACAATAACATGCCGCCAACATGGAGAGATTACCGGTCCTTAGAGCCATACCATGAAGAATGCAAGCACTAACCAGGTAACGATTTTTTTATGCTCCTACCACTTCTATATGCCGACGGTGTAAGTTGGCAATCATATAACTCGGTTTGCGACGTCGCAGACTTCCTGTCATACTTTATTTTTTAAACGGAAAACTACTCAACGCCAATTCTTTAAAACTGCTGTGATTTTTCCTTTCTGTGCAAAGAAAATTCTGCATAAACTTCAAGGAATGATGTCAATTTGTTCTCCTTTAAAAAAATAACATAGAGGCAGAGATTTTCAGACGCCGCAAACGAGATATGTGATTGCGGACTTACGCCATCGATATGCTACTTTACTTTAATTTTTTTTTTGCAATATTCCCCCAATATTTGATCACCCACAGGGAAATAGACTCCAACCCCTCAGAAGAGGAAACAATACAATTAATTTACACGGATGTTCTAAGACGCTTGTTTTGTTCATTAATTAATTTTTATTTTTCAGTTTTGACAGTGTAGCAAAAATAACAAATTAGATATTTATAACAGTAACCTCAGTTTGGATTATTTTACGTATGAGAGCAAAAAGAAGGAAGAAATTGAGATAAAAAAAGTAAGTCTCTGTATTTTTAAAATTTCCACCTAAAGAGAAAATAAAGATTACCTCAAAATATTTTTAATAGAAAAGTTTATTATTTTTTAATTTAAACTTGATTTTCGATCATAAACTTTAGAATACCAAAAATAAAATACTTTTACCAATGAAAACAGGATGAATGAAAGTCTTAAGTTTAAAAAAGAAAATAATATTATTTATAACAATCATTTTAACTTTAATATGCAGGTGGGTTCTATTTAAAAATTACGGGCAGTTTTTGTATTCATGAGTATGTAATTATTTCTCGACTTATTCTAGTTGGCAAATTTCATCCAGTGCACTCGTAATTCGTTTGCAGTTGAATGGATGACAAGCACTATGAAGGATGAGAATTCTGAATTTTATACAAAAAACAAGAAAAATTTTTACATTTCTGAAGATAACGTATAAAATCAGGAGTTACTTAAGTCAGACATAAAATTGTGTGCTATTTTAAATGTCCTGTCCTAACGTCTGCAAATCAGTAGGTAAAAGAGTAGTTCTGGAGATGATACTTGACGTTCCACTGAAAGTTGCTAAATTTTCTGATAGGGAACTAATCATGTGTTATGCACCAAGTAAATGAAATCGAATAAACATATGTAAAAGATTTAATATTTTTTTGGTCCGTGCACAAAAATATAAAGCGCTAAGAAAGTTGCAATTTCCATTCTGCTGTGGAAAACTTTGGCGAATGTTATGTTTCGGTAAAAAGAGTGCGAATGATCTTATGTTTGCATACTTTCTCACTAATTTTCTCCTTATTTGAGAGAAAGTTATAGCAGTACTTTAATCAAGAAGTCATATTGGTAACTTTTTTAAAACTTAAATCTTCTGCCAAATTTTCCACCATTAGAATATGGTAACACCTTTTGATCCTCAGCGTTTCATAGGTACTTTTCATGGATATAAATCTATGTAGCTTATGCTGGTTTTTGAGAAAGTAGTTCACCATGTCTTTTCATCAGCTTTTGTTGAAAGTTTGATTGTTTGATAACTTCTTTTACGAAGCAATGAGCTCTCTCCAGAGTTTTTCTAATGAAATGTCTTGCACATCTTCCGATTTGATGTCTTTGCCCTCATTGCATAAACAGAGGAACTGAGGTAAAAAACGTTGTTTAATCGTTTTCTGGAATTTTTAAAACTAGTGCTTTGGTCTCAATATAGTAGATTTTGTATAAAATCTTGAGTTTTCTTCTGTTAATCTTTCCAATGTGGGGAATATTCTTTAGTCATTGGAGGTTTAAACAGCTCTCGTCGAACTTTATGTTTTTTCAGTTTTGTGTTTTCCTAGTTGCTTCTTTGGTTATCCACAAGGTAAGGGAGCAAAAAAGTTGTCCCAAGCATTATTATATATTCTAATCGATGGCTAGTTTCCGAAAACTGCCAGCCATTATATCATTTTGAGGTCCGCATCCGCCTCTCAAAGCTGACACCGCTCCTTGTCTAGCGCCCTCGCTGAAAAGATCCTCTCTCACCCGCATATCATCGTTGCTCAGCAGCATCTCTCGCTTTGCAAGGAGCTCTTTCTTCCATGATTCTAAAAACAGAAAGTCATTATTGTATAAGGATCGTCATGATGCTGCTAAAACCAATTTCAAAGAATGAATTGAAAATTGAAAAGTCATGATAAAGTAAAGTATTGTTAGAACTTGTGAACTAGAAGTTTTAGAATTTTTTGCCAGGGGGTTTTCCGGATATTTGGTCAAAGCTTTTTGTCACACTCAACCATTGATATTATTAATTTTGGCTGAAACAAGAAAAAATCTGTAACTTTGAACATTTCCAAATAATCCTAAAACTCATTCTGTGCGTTTGAAAATCGATGTATTAAGCATTCTTAGTAGCATTCATAATAGGAAAAAATCCTAGTTATCTTACTTTTATATTGTTAAATTATTGCTGCCAAACTCGCAAAAATCGTAAAATAAACGAAAAATTGAAAATTTGAGACTCTTTCACGTTCAACTGTACAATAATGCAAAAATACCGTGACGAAGTAATAAATCAATTACCATGAAAAATAAGTTTTACGGGTACTAATACTCTTTAAAACTTTAATGAGAATACAAACATTGATGCTAATTTAACCAACTGCTTCGAGTCGTCGTTCTAAGTCAGTGGTTTATTACTCAGACTTTTTTCAAGAGGTGAAATTTCTGCTCTGAATAGAAAAATTCTGTTTCATTATTTCATAATATCATGAAATATATTGCAGTAGTTCTGCTCAAGACTGGATTTCCACAGTCGTGTAAGCCAGCGATTGTTTCTTAACACTGTGTAGGAATATTCATTTTCTGGAATTATTTATTTTACCTATCATCTCGGCCATTGGTATCGTGCCTCCATACTCTTTCGGGAGCAATGACTTGTCGATGTGCTCATGAACTTCTTCAACGTTTGAATGGAGCTGTAACATGAAATAAAGAATTTCAAATCCCAGTGCAAAGTGTCATCAAAAATTGGCAATACTGTCTCTGTAGAGTTCTGTAATTTAATTGTTAGCACCAGCTCAACCATCGCTATTTTCTTCTTGAAAATTCTTAGTTTGAGATCCCAAGCCTTTTTATTTTTAGAGTGATTGTATCAGATTTACTGGAATCAGCAATGACTTTGAAGTTACTTTTTACTGCAAGTGTATTCTACCCAGTTCTCCTGCCTTTTCGCACAATTAATTTTTTAAAAATGATTTTCATAGAGTACGTACAATTTTATATATTCTTTGACAAGGGAGTTGGCTGTATTCCACTTAATTTTTCAGTAAACTGCTTCTTTGCCCATTTAAAGAAAGATAATGATATTTTTATGTATGTTTCACAAAGCATCCATTTGAGGACAGAGCTTCTTCCAAGTTTTCTTGCTTAGTTCGGAGAGATCATACTGGATGAATATGGCGTGATAGAGGTTGCCTAGGAAGATTCATGTTGAGATGTTGAACAAAAATTTGCCGAAATACCAGTTTCTCTTTTAATTCATTGCAAAAAGAAGAAACGTTTTGTCCAGGAGCATACTTCAATAGACTATATATTCCTGAAATCTATCCTTTAAAAATCTGAAATTAAAGTACACCAAAGCACATATTGGTAGTTTATTTTGAGTAATTAAATGCTATATTTTCCATTCAAGAACTTTAAGCTTTAATTTACAGTTTTTTTGGAAAAAACCAATCAGTAACAGACAATTGATGTGCTTGCAGTCTTTATGGTTCAGTTTGTTGCTACAATTTTATTCTAAAGAGAAACCAGCACTCAGCAGAATTTTTTCTTGTACGAACAATGTGGATGTATCATGGCATTAAGTATGTTGCTGGTTGTTTCATGCAAGTAAAACCTTTCCTGTAATGTTAAGATGGTACCTCAAGACTTCAGGACCACAGGATTGTTGGGACACCTCCAACATGATATTTAGGCGCAGATTGGATGGGTCAAAAACTAACTTTGCCTCTACATCGATTTGTTTTTTTCTTACACTTTTTCAACATCTCTCAATTATGTTCAGATCAGCTTTTTTCTCTGTGGTGAGAATTCCAGTTTCATACCGACTTTTAATAGACATTGGCAAAATCACGAACTTTCTGTCGAAACGACTCATTTGTCTAACTACAATCTGTCTGTATTGAATCTGTCTGATTTTTGTTCTCTTGGTTCATGGCAATGTAAGCATCGCTTTCAACATACGTACCTTTACACGTTTTCGGATCTTTTCAGAAACCAGTGTCATCGCAAAGTCCATCGCAAATTTCACTGATGGATGAACATTAATGACATGCACTTCCTTATGTCTCATAGGCAGAGTTCTCTGGAAGAATAAAAAAAGAAAAAATGAACAATAGTTTAATGAAAACAGGACTTTTTGTACCAGTTTTATTTTTTTACTCCGGTGCCCACAGTTTGGGTCATTTGGTATTACAGTTGTGCAGGTTGATTAAGGATTGGTGCAAGAATTTGATTATGGGGCCAAAATAAGATTCTTCAATGATTCAAGTAATATTTTTACCAGAACTGCTCATTCTTAGAACTACAAAGGCTCCCCAAGTTTGAAAAAGCAAATTTGTAAAGTTTTCTTTTTCTTTCTTTCATTCTTCCTTTTTCTACATTGATGTATGGTATCGCATACAAAATGGTGCAAGACAGAGGAGAGGGTTAGGTCAATTACAGTTTGAGAAGAACGTTGTACCACAAAAATCTCCCAATTTGAAGCAAATTTTTGACTTTTGAAAACTTTGTAATCCTGAACCACTGTTTATTGGTGTTTTGTTTTGTCTGGTTAAGGCGGTGAATAGGGATTTTGTATTCGGTTGAATAATTTTTGCACTTTTGAATAAGAACGAAGTGTGCTAACTTCTCTCATCTTCCGTTGGTCTTAGATTAAAAGCATCATCTTTACTTTTTGGTGAAAAATCAAAATAGTTTAGATGAAATCGTTCGGTTCTTTGTTAATTAAACCATTGTATCATTAAAATATTACCTCTCCATTTTTTACGATGCGCACTGCCTCCTTGGGAGTGAATAATGACAACATGCGGACTGCCACACCTGCACCGTCACAAAAGTGGACATAGCCACGAACTTGATTCTCTTCATCCTCCATTAGTGTTTCGTATGTTACACCATGAATGCGACACATGTCAGTGTTAGCATATTTGTCCATGTCAAAAGCACCTGTCATCATCATGAACATATAAATTAAATTTGAATGAATCGCATGTCAGAAATACAGCTTCGCATAAAATGAAAAATGATGAAGATTTTCTGCCGTTCATAGCAGGTGTCTAGGACCAGGAAACCAGGAAGAGGCAAGAATAATTAGGAAATGAAAATTTTCAGGGAAAAATCAGGGATCTGTTCCAGAATCTAAGAATCCGTCCCTCTTCTGCTGAATGACATATGAATCTTGAAATCAATAGAATACTGGAGCTTTCATTGATCAGATAATATGAACATCAGAAACGCTTTTGGAATTGAAAATTTGAAAGGATATGGCGTCAAATAATGGGCTGAAAGATGATCTGCCCCAAGATAATCTCGGGGAAATGAGAGAAAACTTCAGTTTTCCATCAGGGAATGAGCTTTTGAAAATTAGGAACAATCAGGGAATGCGAATGATCGTGTAGGCACTATGTTTCTACAGCGCAAGTATTAAGCCTTAAAGTAGTGTAGAGATATCGGACATCAGCAGATTCATGTAGCACCTCAGTAAAATTGGAGGAAGAATTTTAGGCTTTTAATTATTGCAAAACAACTCTTACAATAAAGCCATCGGATCTTCTACTATCTGAAAATCCTTGAAAATCTTTGTTTGGTGTGACTCTTAACTTGTCATCATTCATATACAAGTTAGTTTTTTTCAAAAGTGACTCAGTTCTGTAAGAGGGGCTCTCGACTGTCACAAATCACCAATCACATCAACCATGAATCTCTCGAATCATCATTCTGTCCCATTTTTCCAAAGTTCTTATCAATACAAAATAGTCCGAATCTTGAATTTACTGAAAGTGTAACCAGGTGATTTGATGGACGCCATATATTGTATCAGAAGGACATGCAATGTACCGCATCGATTAGTTACATGTTTTTTAGTTACAATTTTAACGTAATAAAGGCAGGGTTTTTTTCTGTAGAGGAAAAATGTCGCATTCAATGCCTCTATCGAAACTCGAATGCGATATATTTCCTCTAAAAATACCCCTGCCTTTATTACGTTGAATTTGTTTGTCAAATTTGGCAAGTGAATTCACTACTATTGTGACAACAGAAACAGGATCTCAGAATTTGATAAAAATGACAAGTAGCTGAAAACGTGGAACTAATTGATGCGATATATCGCATGCTGCTCGGCCACAAAATATAGCGTCTGTCGAGTCACCTTAAGTATCATCCCTTTTACTGCATTCTCATTATTTCGTAAAACAGGTAAAAGGTCTCCAGCTTTTGCAGCTTTCTCCTCCATAAGGTGTATGAGATATATTTACCAGGCCGTGCAATGATAATTCTTCTCCCATATTTGTCACGCCCGGGAACTGCGAACAAATACCTGTAAAAAAACGAGATCCTTAATCGAATTTAAACATTCAAGGAAACTTGTTACCTCAGATAAACTTGAAGAATATAAACTGTAGAAGGTTAAGATTTCTATTCGGGGGCATCACACAGTGGATCGAGTCAATTAAAGAGGTGGGACGTGAAATTTTGGACTAAAAACTGCAAAGTTTGGTGTTCATTTCGTCACATTTTACATTTCAAGGGGTGCTTTAAGTAGAAAATTTCACGAGAAAACCAATAGAACCACTTTGAGAACCTCAATAGTTTGTATAAACGGAGTTATCAGCATTTAAAGTTTCCAAATTTTGTCCGACCTCTCCCATTGACTCGATCCACTGTGCGTCATCAGAGGGTCCCGGGGGATCTAACTCTCGTCCCCAGGAAAATTTTAATGAAAAAGTTAGGGAAAAATTTCAATTTTGCTCGATCAACATGGAAAAGTCTAGGTCAGGGTTGCCACAATCAGGGAATACCGGAAAAACCGGGAAATGTCAGGGAATCTTAAAAAGTCAGGGAAAACCTGGAATTGTCAGGGATAATGATAAAAATGTCGAAAATGTCAGGGAAAAAGTGTCAGGTCACCTTTATTCGCCCTCTAGACTAGACTTGAATTTTCATACAATAGATTTTGCGTAAAATCTATCTGAAATTTTGTCTTTTTAACCATCTGGCATATCATCAATGGTCAGGGAATTTTATCCCAATGTGATAGGGAAACCAGGGAATTGGCAGGGAATTTTCATTTTCTTCATTATATGACAACCCTGTTAAGGAATTTTTCGCAAAATTGGGTGGAAACCCTAATTGGACTGTATTTTGCAATTTGGAACTATAAATTCTGGCTCTTCTGGAAAAACACTTATGTGCGTAGGGAAACTAATGGCACATACGTTGTTTATAAACCGGGCCAGAATTTATAGTTCCAAATTGCAAAATGTAGTCCAATTTTTATCCCTAAAGGAATGGATTCAACACAACAGGTAACAGGCCCGAGACAACCAATTCCGGACGTAACGTTTCGTGTGCATAACAATTGGGGGCTCGTGGCGTAATATTCGGTCATGCGTCTCGCACTTGTACGCGTTTATGATCTGGTTTTAGCATCGCGGCCGTTTTATGATCCCTTTTACAACCTCGAACTTGCAGCAATGAGCCAGCGTTTAAACGTCTGGCACAAAAACACGACAGCGCTTAGGAAAAACGCCGTATGTGCATTCGAGCGTCGCCAAATTTCCTGGGATAAAACATGTATTTTTGAGGACGTTTACTCATTTTTCCCCTTGAAATTTTCAGGTATTCTAAATTGAACTGCGAACTGAATTGTGTGATAAATCGGGAGAAAAAACATTCACAAATTTTTCAAAAAATTTGCGATTGGTCGAAGGAAATTTCGCAACGTCTCAAGGCTTTTACGGCGTTTTTCCATAGCACGGTAGAACACGAGCGGCGCGGCGCCACCCGGATGGCGCTACTTGCTTTGTGCGTCTCCTCTTGCAATACATTTCTGACACCTTCCGTGCCGTGGAAAAACGCCACCAGAGCATTTGAGCTTTGTTGAATTTCTACCGAGTTTTTTTTTTATTTTGAGAAAAACCATGTATATTTTCCCTTGAAATTCTCAGGTGTTTCTTGAAAAGTTACAAATGATATGATCTTGAAAGTTAAAGAACGACATGCTTAAGTAATTGCATGAAATTTTGCAACGTCTGTATGTTTGTACAGCGTTTTTTCTGAGAGCAGCTGCCGTCTGACTTTTGGAATTGATAGACTGAGCGATCGACGGTAAAAACGACGGGAAAATGGAGCGATCCTATTGGTTGAAACGGGTGACTCTCGTAGAATTAGGGGGAAATAATGGGCTATAACTATAGGGGCTCTCGTCGGTTCCGGTTACCCTATTACTTACCTTCTTTGTCCATCGCAATCACTCGCTTTCACCAATAGGATCGCTCCATTTTATTTGCGTCCTCTTCGTCTATCACTTTCCCCATCAATATCAATATTCAGCCTGCTGAGACGTTCTTAAAAGCGCTTTCCTTAAATATTTTTTTTCGTGTGAATTCGGACGACTTTCTGTAATGCATGAAAAGGCGATACAAATTAAATCGCTTCATCATCATCACTCACTATTCCAAAACGACGCAAGGCACCTAAAGGCAAGGGATTTAGCATATAAAAAATGAACCACGGTCCGTCAGAATAAGAAAACCAATTGCCATTTTGACGACATTTTTCAATCAGGAACTCCAGTTTTTGGGCTCATTCGTTAAAGCACCTCTGTGCCAAGGGAAACTAATTGCACAGTTGTTTCTAATCTGAGCCAGATATGGTAGTTCCTAATTGCAAAATGCAGTTCATCTATTCACTCACCCTTCGTCGAGGAGTTCTTGCATTCGCGGCTCTTGAACATCGAGCTTGAGGAACATCATGGAGCCATACGTTTGTCTGAGAAGTAGGTAGCGCTCCAGGGCCTCTTGCGCTTGCATCATGCTGAATTTCTTCGTCCTCAAAAATCGCAGCAGGAAATTCGGGTCTAGAATTCAAGCAAAATCTTAAGAATGTTAATCAGCCTAACTATTTCACGTTATCTAATTTCTTCTCATATTTATATTTTTTTAGGTGATAACCCAGCTAAAAAGTATATTGAAGCTCTCTGTGAATTTTCTTTTGATAATGAAGTCCACACGTAAAATCTCAAGGCAGAATGATGCCCTGCTTTGTTGTTAAAAATCGTCACCCCTCTGATGTAAAGGCGTATCTCGATTCCCACGTGAGCCATGTTCTACATATAAAGCCGTGCTCTCTGAGGCTTCTGTGGAAATCTAAATTTGCCCTTACGTCAGAGGAGCGACTTAAACCCCGCATAGAGAAAATCAGGTTACGGCGCATGCATGTACTAAGCTGATTCTGGTGCGCACATACTTTGCCGTGCTAAAAGGAAAAACGCCGAATGAACATTCGAGAGTTGCCAAATTTCCATCGATAAAATGCTCATTTTTAAGGAAAACTACGAATATTTTTCCTGGAAATTTTCAGGAGCCTAAGGTGGAATTGCGAACAAAATTATCTGGAAAATTGGAAGAAAAATATTTACAAATCCCGAGAATTCGTGATTTACAGAAGGAAATTAGGTAACGCCTGATGGCTAATATGGCGTTCTGCCATAGCACGGCAATTATCTGCCGTGTTAAAGAAAAACACCGTATAAACCTTCAAGCGTTGCCAAATATCCTTCGGAAAAACTTTTCGGGAAAATTTGTAAACCTTTTTCTTCCAATTTTTCCGATAATTTAGTTCGTAATTCCATCTAAGGCTCCTAAAAATTTCAAGGAAAAATATTCATAGCCTTCCTCAAAAATAAACATTTTATCGAAGGAGATTTGGCAACGCTCGAATGTCCGTACGGCGTTTTTCCTTAGCGCAGCAGTACTCTTGTTCGCCGAGAGCGCGCGCCAATTGTGTATCAATAATAATGAGTTAATTGGTCGAATTAAAGGTTGATCCGTCGCAATGTCATCTGTCGGAACTTACCCGTTCTGCACGTTTCGATGCGCGGGTTTTTCTCGATCCACTCCTGGATTTTCTCGAGCGCGCTTTCCCGGATCTCGCTCGTCTCGCGCAACTCCTTCTCGGCCTCCTCTTGCGTCGACTTGTCGAACGGGCAATCGTACTTCACCATCTTCCTTCGCCTCGGATACCTGAAACTTTCGTTATCATCAAATGGATTGCATTTTGTAAAAAGGAACCAGGAGCATTGCCATGTTGCTAAGATTGAGCAACTTCTTTTGTCTTGGAAGAAAAACCTGAGTATCCATTAACAGTCTCTAACTTATTCGCTAAAAACTGCAAATTTAAGACAAAACTTACCCTGTAAATTGCATATTTTTTCATCGTTTCAGTAACTTCATTGCAAAGGAAGAAAATGCACAATCTTAGCATCATTGCTGTTCTTCTGGTTCCTTTTTGCAAAATGCAATCCAAATGCATGTAGCAAATTTCAGCTTCGGTTCATGCTGCAAAAGTAGCTTGAGCGAAAGTAGACTTAGTGTGGGGGAAAAAAATCGAGATAACTATATTTTTGCATTGTTGGGTTGAATCATTTAACGCATGAAAGCACTTTAACATTCCAAAAATCTACTCATTCAATCTCGAACATTTCAAAGTCTGAGAACGAAAAACATATATTCGATAAAAACGTTTTTAAGTGTTTAAAACACTTTGTTCATTGCAACCACCCGCTTCCCCCAATACTGCTTTGATAGCGAAGAGAGCAGTAAGTGCATACTGCGATGAACCTCAAGATCCATTGAAGCACATGTGCTAACCACGGCTCATGCAGAAATGTACTTACTGCTAGCTCTCTTCGCTATCACGGCAGAATAGGATCCCACCATATCGTTTTTGTCCTCTTTTTCTATAGCTTGTCTGTCAATTTCAGCAATCAGCCCGCAGGGCCTAACCATGCGGAGGGTTACTGGGGCTCTAGCCGTGGGGCCTAGTACCTCAGGGGAAGATATTTTTCAGCGTCCACTGGAAAAAAAAAGAACACATTGGATCTAGAGTTCAGACTCTCGAAAACATCGACAAGAAAAAATACTCTTGATTCAATCAAATATAAGTTTGAATCAAGAACCAAGCCTCATAATTTGAGAGAATTGCCTTTTGATTTACGCTTAAATCTGATTGAATCAAGAGTCCTTTTTCTTGTCAATGTTTTCAAGAGTCCGGACTCTAGATCCAATGTGTTTCTTCCAGTGTCGTCTCGCATCTATCTGTCCATCGACGTTTCTTTCTGCGACGACGCTAGTGAGCAACCGAGATTTCGGCGAGGTGGCCCATCGAGTGGTAAAGGGGAGCCCGAAACGGGGCCAGTGCAGCGGCGGCGGCGCCGGCTAAGTACTCTGCAAGTACCGCCGAGGACTAGGTCGCCGGTTCGGGACGGGCCGAAAAACTTGCGTCACGGCCATAGCCGCGGCCGTTTCACGGCTCCGATCGGATTCGGAATATATCGTCGCCCTCCCGACACAAAAACGCAACTACACACAGCGATGAGCCCCGCAGTCCGTATAAGTCCATGCTTTCCCGAGCTCATCGCCAAGTGTAGTTACGCCTTTTTGTCAGTAGAGCGACGGTGTACGACTGTACACACGAGAGACGAAAGATGCGAGACGGTGGACGACGGGTTGCGCCACCGATATTGACTCCGTTCGATTGTTGTGTTGTGTCGGCCACCGCGCGGATTGTCGCCTCGCACGTTTTCACGCTGCAAATCTCTCATTGTGCGCGAGCTTTTTCGGGAGGCGGGGGGCGCTAATGCGGGGCCCGTGCCCCCCCCCCCCCCCCCCCGCTCGCGCCAAACAGAGCCGTTGTGCAATGACACTCTCGATTTACGCTCGACTAATGCGTGAAGAGCGAGGGGAGGGGGTATTATTCAAATGGAAAAGGAAAAAATAACTTGATTTGGGAAAGGCCTTTCCAAAATTAGAATTTTAATGTACGGGGTGAGGTTGTTTTTTTTTTTTAAAAGGTTGCCCCTTTTTAAAGCTTTCCCTTCGAATATTTCAGTTTTGCGGGCTGATCAAGTTGTTTCAAATCTAAAATTAAGGCTAGGATCAGGTTCGCAGTTTTTCTTGAAGAATAAAAACTTGAAATTTCATACGAAATATTTCATGAAATTCAAGAAAAATATTTCATGGAATTTCAGAAAAATATTTTTCGAAATGAAATGCAAAATTAAACGAAAGGCGACTGGTTTTTGCTTTCGGGTGTTTTTAGTGCGTGTTGCATACCCAGCCCCTGAATATATGTTTCATATTTTGTATAGTTTTCACAACTTTTCAATATTTCATATTTTCATTTCACCCGTGCAACCCTGGCTGGGATATCCTCCCCTCCAACTGTGTTACCAAGCATACATAGAGATATCCGTACCATGCGGACCTTCCCCATACCAATGAAAATTCGCTGGTTTTTCTATTGATCACACCCACAGATCAGCAAACTTTTGGATTTCATCCTGGCATATCCTTGGAAACAAGTGAATTGTATAAGTTGAAATTACAAACTTGAAAGTAACGATACAAACCTCCCCTCAACTACATTGCACCGGGAAAAAAAACGCATTGGATCTAGAGTCCAGACTCTTAAAAACATTGAAAAGAAAAAATACTCTTGATTCAGTCAGATTTAAGCTTAAATCAAAAGGAAATCCGCCAAATTAAGCGGCTTGGTTCTCGTCTTAGCAAAAATCCGATTGAATCAAGAGTATTTTTTCTTGTCGATGTTTTTAAGAGTCTGGACTCTAGATCCAATGTGTTTTTTTTTTCAGTGTGAGAATGTGCATTAATTAACGTCCGAAAAATATCAGATACGAGGATTTTGGGCCAAAGTACCCATATGTCGCTCAAAAATTGAAGAAATTCGCCTAGAACAGATTTTCATTCGTCGGTATGTTACATAGAGCACATTAGTTTAATTGCTCCGAGACCATGCTGCATTCCCGCCTGAATAGAACAGCAATTACCTAATTTTTACGCAATGTGCTCGCGTAATAAAAATGGTTCCTGTATAATTTTTAACGGTTTTTTGAGAGCTCTCATCTATGGGCTTTTCCCTTTCTCCGGTGTCGGCTGGCAGGTATCACTTTTTTGGCGCTCTTGGTTGAGCAAGCCGCGGACAGTGAGGGTCCGGACCGCGAAATTTAATTAGAGTTCGTATCTGAGTCCACTGGAATATTAAACTTGAGACCATAAACTTGGCCTATTCATCGGCGCTCATGAATCGAAAACGCTTTGTTGAGTTTTAATTAAACCGTCCATGTTTGCCCCACTCCGGAGAAACATTGGTCAGCGAGGCCCAGATCGCACGGACCGTGGTGGAGAAGAACATCATATGGACTGCATTTTGCAATTTGGACCTATAAATTCCGGCCCGGTTTAAAAACAACGTATGTGCCATTAGTTTCCCTATGCACATAAGTGTTTTTCCAGAAGAGCCAGAATTTATAGTTCCAAATCGCAAAATGCAGTCTATGTATGAAGTACATTTTGAAATTGGGACCCACAATATCTGGCTCAGTTTAGAAATGACGTATGTGCCGTTAGTTTCCCTATGCATATAAGTATTTTCGCTGATAAGTTAGAAATTGTAGTGCCTAATTTCAAAATTAAGTCCATATTAACTTTCATCGTTGGTAATCAAGGTAATTTGTCGTCGAATTTTCCCTTGTAAATTGATCGTTTTGGAGAATTTTTTTTTGAAAATCGATGGCTAACGTCGGAAAAAGGTGTATCTCAGATTTTGGCGTTGTTCGTATCCGCATGTTTTTTGTTTTTCCAAAGGAAAAGTATCCATCGGTTTCTATTGAAATTTTGTAAGAATTTTCTTCTTCCATTCTTAGATAATCACTAAAAATGGACTACTAGGCAGGGTCTGAACTAGAAAGTAACATCACATGAATTCTCTTCAAAATCTTACATAGAAAATGAATTATGCAACGGAAATTCCGGAAATCAGCACCTTCGCGAGATATTAGCAACGATATTATCGTACGACGTTAAGATGGAACATTTTATGAGTATTCGAGTGCTGAAAAATTTTCCTCCGATGAATTATTGATTTTTTTCTTGAAGTCAGAGAAAAATCTTTCAAAAATTAGCAAGGAATATTTTTGAAGAAAATTCAGACGAAGTCAGGGAAATTGGATATTTTAGGTCAACCGCCGCTTATAAATTGGGAAATCGAGATACATTTTGATACACAAACTTTCTTAGATTTGGCTCGTACCAGTTGGAAGACGTTTTTGTCCAGACTTTTCAAGGATCTAAGGTCTCTCGGTCGAAGTGGAGTCTGCTCTCTGCCCAAGGTACTTTTTCGTAGTATCAGGAACTCGATAGGATTTTCGGCTTGGGAAAATCGAGCAAGCCTGAAGAAAGCTCTTTATAACGCATAATGAGACTAATTTTTAACGGTCGGTTAATGATTTAATAATAGGAAGCGAATGAGTTCTAATAATTTTATTAACGCCATTACTCAGCGATAAATTAACTTTACATCGTTTCTCACTATATTTCTATTTGCCCTGGCGTTAATTCAGATGTCGCCTCGATGGCCTATTTGCCCCGTTTTCGGAGTAATTTTTCCCTCTCGATTCAGAAATGGACGTTTTCATATTATAAAAACGGTCAGAAATTTATGCTAAAAGAACTATGCACAAACAAACTGAATTAAGAGAAATCACAAAACGCGCAAATCCCATGCGCTTACTTCCTCTTAATTCAGTACATTTTTACATAGTTCTTTCTACGTAAATACGCCATTTTGCAATTTTTACATTATACCCTCTGCTAGACGCCCCTCACTCAGTAAAGGAAAGAAAATAGATGAATAAATCGAATTTTGAGTCAAAGTCTTTTATAAAACAGCAAACAGCAGCAAGCGCAAATTACGGAGGTCATACGAGCTACACTTTCCCCCCCAAAAAACCTTTACTTCTGACTTATTTTACAAGCAACGTTTATGTTATCAGTTTCCTTATACAGATAGTTAATTTTATGGATGCAGCAGAAATAGTGACTTCTTTTTGCAAGATACGATAAATTCTTACAACACTCTCTTCATACAATTCACCAAGAAGTACCTAGTCATAAAGGATTGGATAGAGCAACTATTCGTACTCCGCGATCGAGCTAATTGCATAAACAGATAATTGCAGGCGTTTAAAGGGAATGGAAGATGGACAAGCAAACTGTCTCCTGCAAATTTCATATACTTACTCGGTATAAAACGCCTGCAATTTGCCGTGTAGGCAATCAGCACGACTGCGGAGTACGAATAGTTGCTATATCAAATCCATTGTTATACACCCTTTTTGTGCTGGGATATTTAATTAGTTTAGTGCTAGAATTACGCAAGGCTTTTGACTCATGTTTCTTCCAACTACACTTATTCAAATTTATGAAAACTGTGATGAATTTTCCTCACTGTACGGATGATGCAAAAAAAAAAAAAAAAAAAAAAAAAAAAAAAAAAAAAAAAAAATTATAATAATCCCATCGGTCATTACTTACCCTTTCAATTTACCTCAATATTATTATTACATTATCCAAGTATTGTAAAAACTTAATTTTGTTTAGAAGTTGATTTCCTGACTACTCGTTGTGTAATTCGTTATATGCGTGAAATTTTTAAGAGGAAACATGTTGCTCAGTGCTGTAATTCATATCTTGTCTGGTAACCTATTGGTTATGTCTATTTTTACGAATTCAAAAAGGCAACTTGTGCGGAATTGTGATAGTTTCAGGCGGAAAGGCAAGCTCTCGGTAATTGGAAAAAAGATAAAAGTGGAGGAAAACGGAGGGAATGGATCAGGCGGAAATATCTTGAAAAGCGTGGGGAATTTTTGAAAAACACCAGAAAAAGAGGGATTCCTAGAACTTAACTACAAATTCAAGCGCTAAAACTATAACCCAATTGAGAGTCGTCCGAATGGAGAAATTTAATGTATGCGAAAAATTGTGCACAAACCTAGGGAAAATTCATATCATGCATGAGAAAGACGTAAGGAATTTCAGGATTCCTGGCGGTCTAGAAAACCTGGAACGGTAGAACATTTACGGCGGCCAGAAAAGGCTAGGGAATTCATAGGAGATATCAAAGAATTTTGCGAGCATCGTTTAACAGACGTCAACGTAATTGAAAGTAAAAAGTATAAGTGGAAATTTTGTTCCAAGGTTTGGGAAAATCAAAGGATTCGAAAATTTTGAATTCAAGGAAGATCAAAAATAAACCGGGAATAGTCAGAAAATCGGATTGTAAAGAAATTTTGGAAATCCTGGAACTAGTCCATAGACAAGGTATGAAGTCTATAAAGTTAAGCTCAATGCTGCATGCTTTTTCTTCAAATTTTCATAAGGAAAATGGATCTCACAAGGGGAAGTCTGGAGATCAACTCCTAAATAAGATATAAGTGTTTACAATCATTTATCATCTAAATTTTCATTTGATCTGTGTTTAAAATACTTGTTAACGTGTTAGTTCATGAGTTGATTCCCGAATTCCCCGACGTGTGAATCGGACGTATTTCCGCGAAACGGAACTATGTGCATTATGATGTGAGCCTTGTCATGCATATATTCGTATGGGTCTCAGGGCTCATGTCTCTATGCACATAGTTCCGTTTGGCAGAAATACGTCCATTCGTTCTTTAAGTAAGATATTGAGAAGAAAACGTTTTCTGTTTTTATCTAGTTTAGACTTCATCTAGGGGCCCATTCGGAACTTTGAGTACTTAAAACTGGATTGCATTTTGCAAAAGGGAACCAAGAGCATTCCAATGTCGCTAAGATTGTGCAACTTTCTTTAGCTTGCCAATATAAACTGATCATCTGAATAAATTGTATCTTTATATCTTTACTCCCAATAAACTATAAATTTAAGACGAAAATTACCATCGTAAATTTAATTTTTTGCATGATTTCAGTGTTTATTTGCGAAGAATGTAAAGTACACAATCCTAGCAACATTGGAATGCTCTTGGTTCCTTTTTGCAAAATGCAGTCCAACTATAGGAAAGAAATTTTTAAAAAAATTGGCCATACCTGTCACAAAATCACACGCAAACAGACACCACCCGTACCTCCTTGCACAGAGACACCACAAATCGCAACTTTTCACTAGGCACGATACCTAGAGCCAGGGAAGCGATTACACTGGGTCAGATTTTCCTCAGATATTCCTCGAGGAGGGGCGAAGAGGGGGACGAGAAAAATCCGCGGAGTCCGAAGCAGTACGAGACGGACGCGGCGATGCTGGCTGAACCGGTGCAGGTCAGTCAATCGCCCGGTGGTTATAAAGTTGGTTCTTTTAGCGTGAGTTATCGCGCCCCTCCCCCCGCCCCTCCTCGAGGCGCACTTTAACCACCGTCCACCACCCACCATTGCCCGCTGTAATTTGGAGCTCTTTACGACACCGTTGCCGGAATTGACCTGTGGGAAATGAACGCATAAATGGACCGCGTTCGGCAGAAAGGGATCAAGCCACATTAGCTGTTGTCTAATTTAGTGAGCAATTTAATTTTTTACGAGAGGACGTTTGTGTGGATTTTTTTTTTTTTTTTAAAGATTTCAAGGAATTCGCCTCGCACTGTGCAGCAAATTCATTGTTCGCAAAAAATCAGCACAACCGTTTTAATGTAAACAATTAAATTGTTTAATAAAATTTGGCAAAAGTTGATCTGGCTTGGTTCCTCTCTGCTTAATGTAGCCCACATGTACTACATTCTGCAATTGAATCTCTCAGTTCGTAAACAACTCATCTCATTTTTCCGACAAGAACAGCGTAACAGGCATAAAAGAAGTTATTTCGCGCAAGAAAATAAACATCGTAATAAATCCGAGCTGAGTCGTTTTTGAACTGAGAGATTTAAATATGAACTACTATTTCTAGCGCATTATTAAAGCAACGTATGTGCTCCAGTGCATGGTTTCTAGGACCGGGAAAAACCGGCATTCATCAGGGGATGAAAAGTTTCATATCGAATCAGGGAATTTGTTCCAGAAACCGGGCATTTCTTTTCTACCGCATCGAACCATTTCAGTCTAAAATTTTGTGGAAATTTTGAGTACCTATTGTTGTTAAGGGTTATGTGTTATTGCAACCTGACCCACCATTATGGACCTCTTGAATGACATTTTTAAATATTCAAATCATCAGAATCGTCATCTTCCGTTGGCCAGATAATATAAACACCGGGAATGCTTTAGAGATTGAAATTCTGAATGTACGCTGAAGAATCCGTAGAAAAATGATATATTCTACATTCATTTCTGGATATTCGAAGAGTTATTGAGAATACCGGAAAAGTGGAAGAAAACTTAGATTCCTCATTAGCTCCTAAAAATCAGGGAAAAATCTGGAAATGAGCATGGTCAAGAGCTCTTGACACCATGTCTTGATGTTTCTAGTAGATCCAAGTTTTTCCAACCAGGTTGATTGCATATCTATGAGATGAGGGGAGTCGTTAACTCTTTTCAGTTAACTCAGAGACTTTAATGCATGAATAGAAAAGTTGTATGGGGCGAAACCCGTGATACCACTATTTCGACCTCCAAGTAAGTAAAATTGCATATCCATAAAATGAAGGAGAACTCTTCTTGGCTGACTCAGAAACTTCAACCTCAAGTAGAAAAGTTGGATCGGGCGAAACATATAATACAACGATTTTGACTTCCGACTAGGTAAAATTGCATATCCTCAAAATGAAGGAGAACGTGGTGTTCCGCATCATTCCAACCAGTCGGTTCATCGCACTCAATTTTCAGTTCGTGTTACCGATCGTTCGGTTCGCACAACCGAACTGTAAAGGATAAAATAACTGATGAAAGGAGTTCGATTACACGAATTAAAAAATCGGTTTTATTCTAAAGAATGAACGCTCAACGCACTGATTCTTACAAAAACTTATGACAAGGATGTTGATATTTTAAAACTATTGCAAAAGCGTTGAGTTTTTGAGGTAATTACCTCTTACATGTTGAATTCTTGAAATAATTACTGCGAGAGTGTTAAATTTTTGAGAAATATACCGCGGGAGCGTTGAATTTTTAGAAAATTGTTACGACCGCGCTCAATATCTGGAGAATTACTGCGAATGCATTATTTTTTGGTGAAAATTACTGCGAATACGCCATGTCACAGTAGTAGACTGAATTCCTGTTTGCCCAAAACTGCGTCCGCCGAAGAACTTTCTGCTTTCCTGTCAGAAAGTGTAGGTATTTAATAATAGGAAACTTCCATTCAGAAGACACCCTTCAACGTTTTAACGATTGTTCACAAATTCTTTACGGTCTTTGATATATTACTAATCAGAATTCCTTAAAAAACGCTTATTTTTAAAAACTGTCTAAATCCTTGCCTATAGCCTCAATTTTGTACTGAATTTTTAACTCTAGTTCTAAATTTTTAAACTTTTGGCTGAGATTCTCCATCAGAATAGTGTGCATCTTATACCACTACACGGAAAAAATTAAATAGCTGATGTAACCATTCAATTGCTAAAAAAAAGTGACTGCAATGTTTCAATGTAGATTTTACAAAAAAAAATGCTACTTTAACCATATTGTGAGCTAATTTAACCACGGGGATGGTTAAAGTAGCATTTTTTTGTTGTAAAATCTACATTGAAACATTGCAGTCACTTTTGTTAGCCATGGCCTTGTTAAATCAGCTATTTAAATTTTTCGTGTAATCTACCATCCTCTAGTCAAACTGAACAGTCGGCTCAGTCGAAAATTGCCTCCCCATACAAAATCCTCTTTGGTGGATCAATCTCGAGCTCATTTCTTTCGTACTAACCGTGGGGATATCACAGACAAAGAGAGGCCCTCAAATCCCTCCATAGGTAACATTGCAAAGATATATCTTTGCAATGTTGGAATCTTTTACTTTCAGCATTCCAACATTCAACTGTTGACCTTCCTACTAGGTGGATGTTTAACAGCGTGTCGTGTCTCTCGTTTTGCAAACAAACCGAAGTTTGATAAACTTGTTCGGCTCATGACGAGCCCCGAAGCTAATCGTCTACCTAGGAGATAGGTCAACAGCCGAAAAAGGCTGAGACTGTTACTCCCTTATAATGGAGATGTTGCATGTGTGAGGAATTTGCGATTTAACTGTCGATTCTTACGCAAAAGTTCGCAAGAAACACGATGGTGCTACTGGTTTTCTCTGAAATCAACTTTTAAGCTCAAAAAAAGCTCTCAAGTTGGAGCCAAAATGGAGGGGATATCCCACGCTATCCTGAGAGTCCACCTCTACATCAAGACAAACTCTCCATGCAAAGATAGGGAGCAAATACATTGACAGGGCTGCCACTTTATTTGGGGACTCCAAAACTGAAAACACGGCAACGCTGCTTATGTATTTGTTCCCTATCTTTGCATGGAGAGTTTTTCTTGATGTAGAGGTGGACTCTCAGGATAACGTGGGACATCCCCGGCCATTTTGGCCTCAACTTGAGAGCTTTTTTGAGCTTGGGAGTTGATATCAGAGAAAACCAATGGCACCATCGTGTTTCTCGCGAACTTTTACGTAAGAATCAATAGTCAAATCGCAAATTCCTCACACATGCAACATCTTCATTGTCCACAAGGCAGCGTCGAAAACCCGAAAGTAAAAGTTTCCACCTGTTGTCAAGAGGTTAGTGGAGGGTCTCTCTTCGTGTCTGGGGAAAATTTACAAAATACGTCAAGTCCTTTGAGAATGAAACGTGGTGCTCGTCTGGATGGTGGCGATTTATGAGCACGTCTGACAACTGGGTGCGATTGTCGGGCCGGAGTTTTCATAGATTCGAGACGGTACGAAGCTGTTACATATGCGCTCACCTCCATGTCTGATGATGGTGGACCCGCGTCTGCTCGGACCCAGACACCAAACGGCTTTATTGTATTTTCGCGTCATGATTAGGCATATGAACCAGGGTGACGACACACCAACAATTCTCGCGTCCTATCTCCTCCCGCTCTTCTTTTCCCTCAGCCCAGCCCTCCCTTTCTTGTATGAAGGTGGGCTTAATATGTTTTTGGCCCAAGAGGTAGGCCCTGGTAGCTATCCATCAATTAGACTACATTCGGATGTATTTGAATGAAAAGTAATTAACTTCATCGTCTCTCGGGCCCTCGTCTCTAAGGACATAGTCCCTTTCGACAAATACGTCAATTTCTGTGTAAAACACCCATATTGCCGGCTCATTTTACACTGAAAAAAAAAAAAACACACTGTATCTAGAGTCCAGACTCTTAAAACATCGACAAGAAAAAATTCTCTTGATTCAATCGGATTTTTGCTTAAATCAAGAACCAAGCCTCTTAATTTGAGCGGATTTCCTTTTGATTTAAGCAAAAATCTGATTGAATCAAGAGTATTTTCTCTTGTCAATATTTTCAAGAGCCTGGACTCTAGATCCAATGTGTTTTTTTTCCCAGTGTACCAATCTGGTTCATCAGACACTTCTGGTTCACCTTCCTTTTACAGGTGGATTTTTATGGATAAGTTAGAATCTATGGATTCTTGTCGCAACATGTTGTCATTGACGCAAGTTGGAAACCATTAAAACATATTTCAGGAACCCATAAAAAATTTGGGTCATAGCTTGTAAATTCTGGGATACATCAGAAATTGAAAATTTCCAGAAAGATCGGACCCCTCTAGAAAAGCTGCATTGATTTTTTTTTCTATTTCCACACTGAGACCATTTTTTCCTTGAAAAAGTAGATGAAAAATTGGACTATATTTTGCCAGCAGGAGCTACTATTTCCGGCTCGTTCATAAAAGCACCCATCTACATAGGGAAAATAATGGGTAGATATACTTATTCCCTTTTGCAAAACGTAGTCCAGTTCATCATTAGGTTAGCAATCCTACACTATTCCAAATTTCATCGTAAAAAAGTTATCGGGATTTAATGCATAAGGATTTTTACATTTTCCGCCAAGAGTTTTTTTCATCTTAATACAAGCTGAATTTTTCTATAAAAAAGAAAAAATGCTTAGATATAGTAAAACAAACTAGCTTAAATTAAGTAGCACCATTTCTGCTTCAAGTAAAAATATTTACTGGCGGAAAATTTAAGTTTTTTTTTTTTTTTTTTTTCAGTTTTGTTTTTCAAAGCTCCCAGTACAGATACCTATTATTTCGTTTAAATACTTCCAATCGATCCCTCCAACAGGTATGCATATTCTGTTTCAAACTTCTCAGTACAGTGCAGACCTCTTTTGCATCACCGCGTCTATTTACTCAATGTGACAACGTGGTTCAATTGATCATAAGCGCAAAGCGAGAAAATCGTTCCATACTGGAGTCGCGCCGTAACTAATAGCCTCAATGAGCCGCCTGCGCCTTCAAAACTCGATTCACTTTATTCATTCCCGATGTATTAAAAAAAAAACATGACGGATTCGGTCGAGCCTGCGTAAGCTCCCCACATTCGCTCCTGGCGATTTTCATGTTTTCCACCCAAAGTGCCGCTTACGTCTCGTTTCGAGGCACTCGGGGTGGTTATGAGATCGTTTAACGTATCACTGTTTCCTAACCGGCGTTATGGTGCATAATATTCCACGCGTTACTGGTCGTTCAGAATAGTCACCGCGCTCTAACGACGAGTAATGAAACTAATTTCCAGGCCCTACGGATCGATCATTGAACTCTTATGTCAGCAAGATAGGACATCAAACTGTGATACTTCGTTTTGTTAAGATTCAAAGGTGACAAATTCTTGTAAATTCAAGGAAAACCTGGACAGATCAATTCCTGACCTCAATGTAAAACTTTGACAGGGTTAGGCGCAAAAATATCGATGGCTAAGTGCCAAACCACGTATCTTCGTTTGCGACGTTGCAGACTTCCTGGTGTTCACCATTTTCTCTTTGGAAAACTAGTCCTTTTAAAAGTGAGTCAGCCTGCTGACGTAAGGCTATTATTCATAAACTACCCTAAGTCTGACTGATTCAGGCTGACATCAGTCTGACATCAGCCTGAATCAGTCTCAGTCAGGGTAGTTTATGAAACATAGCCTGACGTCAGGCCGATGCACTTTCACCAGGGAGTCAACGTAATTTCTTTGAAACCTCCTTGATTTTTCTTCTCTGCTCTGTTAGCAGAATATTTCGTGTAAATTTCAAGCTATGAAATAGGTTTTTACTCTTTGGAAAAATAAAAAAAGGAGCGGGAATTTTGAGAACGTGGATTCGCACTTTGGCTGTCGATATCGTATCAGAAAAATCTGCAACTGCAAAATCTTCCGAGTCAGTTGAGTCTCCGTTGGACCCCCCCCCCCCCCCCCCACCCCCTCCACAAATCCCTTGTACTCGTCTGTAACTGCCACCCCTCGAAAGAAAAATGAACCCCTTCTTCGTCCTAAAACCATGTCCAAGTTCTACGGAAAACCAAACCCAGATTAAGTTTTTGTGCCCCTAGGTCACGCTCCTCCTAAAAGTCGGGAGGACGTCACATTTTACTACTAGGCAATTGAATTTTACCATCCCCTTTACTTTCCTCCGGTTTTCTATCCTCAGTCCTTCTCCATTCATCCCGACATTCCCAATCTTGTCTCCATGAGGATTTTTTGCTCTTGTAGATGTCGACAAGAAAAACCGGTGACCGGTTTGTTTATCAAACTGGCGCGATGTGTCAATTGCTTAAAAACTACCACAGCACCCTTTTGGTTATGGAAAAATAACTACATGCAATGCACGTTGTGTCAGAATCGGGATCCACGTAGGAGGTGTCCTCTGTGCAAGAAAACAGGCAAGGAACAGAATTTTGGATAAATTGGACGTATTTACGCTAAAAAGAACTATGTGCGTAGGATTTGCGTGAGACATAGTTAAGCATAAATACGTCCAATTAGAAGCGGCTGTAATCGACGAAGTGACCGTTCACCGGGATCTCACGAGGAACAACTTTCAACTCCACGGAAATTCAGGAGAGGAGTGGGGGGGGATGTTGGCAGTCTCCCTCCCTATCTCCATAGCTACAAAAAAATAATCTAAACTATCTGCCTTAACCTCAACCGCTTTTCAGATCTGCACACTGAGAAAAGTATTTGTGTTTTTGTGTTACTTTTCGTTGATATAGGAAGTGAAACACAAACCGACCCAAATTTTGTGTTGATTTTGATACGGTTTGCGGTGGATTTAGCGCAGAAAAAAATGGAGGGACCGGGGAACTCTAGAATCAACCGAAGGCATGGGTTAATTTGTGTTTTACTTCCCATAATAACACAAAATGTCGGTTTCTTTTTCTTAGCGTGCATTCTCTCGTTTCTCTTAAGCGTCTTTCTGGTCCTAAAAAAGGTCAAAATTAAAAAGGTAAATAACAAAATCCAAGTTTCCTCCTTTAATTTGAATGTTCATATTCAATCAGAATTTCAGATATTTTAAGAAAGGCATAGTTTTCCTTTTTCTTGGTGAAGTGCAAAATGAGTGCAATGAAATTCTGTAACTTTGCTCCTGATCCTAAACTGAGAAGACGTGGGCAAATATTATTATAAGGTGTCGCAGAGCGTCCGAGATCGCTGTGAAAGCGGCCCTTATGTATGCAGAAAATTGAAAGTTGCAGATGTGTTCATCTTGAAATCCGATGCAAATTCGTGCACTAACCATTGAGAGATTTCGGTGATCAGCAATCTCTGAACAAAATGGTTTATAAACTCTGTAATTTTTATTTTGAGTTTTGCATATGCACCGCTTGCACTTCTCCATTTCGTCTGAAATGGTTTAAACGCAATGTATGCACCGTGAAAAAATGAAAAGGCCTGAATGCAACTATTCGTGCTCCGTGGATGTGCGTATTGCATATACGAAAACTTGAAGGCGTTTTCGTTTGTCTCTACCTCACAATCGCTCGGCTGCTCCGATAGCAAAACAGCGTAACCTCGCCTCTATCTTGTGAGCCATTAGAAGCAGGGGGTTATGCGGGAGACAGAGCTCATCTCTAAATGTATTTACGCCAGCCAGCACTGCTCCCTATAATTAATGCTTACAAATTTGAGAAGAACGCGCGTGAGAAAAAAACATATGGACGGTAAAACTACCAGACCACGTATCTCGGTTTGCGACGCTGTAGACTTCCTGTCATACTTTATTTATTCACCGGAAAACTACTTAACGTCAATTCTTGAAACTTCCGTGTTTTTCGCTTTTGTGCGAAGGAAACTCAGTGACAATTTCAAGAGATTATATTAATTTGTAGTTGCAAATCTCTGTTCTTGTTTGATTTTTCTAAAGGGAAAACAAGAAACTGTTCATCTTGAAACTATCCGTGGATTTTCTTTCCTCTTTCAAAAATTCACAAAAAATATCGGGGAAACATTTTGTTAACTTTTTATCACTATTTTTTTTCAAATTATACAAATCAACAGCCTCTTAATTTCGAGTGCTTGTGTAGATCGCACTCGATATCCTCATTGAAATCCTTCATGACACCCGGCGCTTCAAGTGCTGGATTCTCAATTACTTTTTAGTCGGTAATCTCAGAACAAAGTGGTTATCTCAGTCACACTGTCGTTCTTGAATGATGAGAAGGTAATAACTTTGCCTCCTCGTAAGGAGTTCGTATAGCGATCGTTCACTTCATCAGCGCTTGTGTTTTTTTGTTCTTTTTGTCTGTCCAAAGGACTTACGATCCTCTCCGTATTTTCATCTTACACTGATTTTTACGGACTTTTTCCCGATTTTTAGTGCGGTTAATTGCTCCAAATTTTTCTCTCCCTGATATATAGGCGAAGAATGGGATTTTGTTTTCTTGTAACAAACCGAGGAAAAGCTCTTGTGTGAACAAAACGGGATTACTTACGTGTGAAACCCTTAAATTGGACCGCGTTAAACAGAAAGGAACCAAGCCACATCGGCTATTGCCAAATTTAATTAGGCAATTTAATTTCTAACATGAAAACGGTTGTGCGGATTTTCGTGCAAATTTCAGTGAAAACTCTCCGTGATACGAAGCAAATTCCTCAAAATTTTCAAAGAAATCCGAACAAATGTTCTCTCGTAAAAAATTTAATTGACCAGTTAAACTTGGCAGTGGCTGATGTGGCTTGGTTCCTGTCTGTTAAATTCTATGTCTATTCTGTTAAATTAATGTCTATTTTTATTACCGATCAAAATCATATTTTTCAAGACTTTTTTTGTTTTTTTAGACTTTCAAGTATTATTTTATCATTTGTCAGTCATGTATTCGGTGGAGTTTGAAAACTTGAATGTGTATTTTGACCAATGTTTTTTCAACTCAGGTTTAAAAAAATAATAATGATTGTCTCATAAAATATGATATTTTATCTTATCCCACAAAATATCTTAAAAAATGTGGTCTATCAAACGCTAAGTCTTTACGTTCAATGTAGAAGAAGATATCGCATTTCGAAATACTGTGATGGTTTAAGTCTTCGTTAATATCCAGCATTTTCTCATGAGGTTTTTTTCTTTCTTTGTTGCAGACAGCCGTAAAGTTGCTTGAAAGTCAGCCGTCGTATTTCCGGTCCGTCCATCTAAAACTGTGTCTCCGGAATCTCGTTTTTTTCAAAGTTCCTTTTCATCCTGAATTTGTGCTGTCACATCTACCAAGAGGTGCACCCGACCGCCATGACTTGTTGATCTCCTCTAACTGTAAGGTCTCTTTATTTATCTTTTGATCTCAATGTTTTATCTCTTCGCCGGCTGGCAAAACAAAAACCGTCGGTTATTTGAGTGCTACGAGTTTAAGGCAATCGTATTAAAAATCATCTCGGAATAAAACAGGATTGCCATTGGATCCATTGGAAATCAAATTCCCATTCAGAAAAAGCTCTTAAAATTGAAGCCATAATGAAAGAGCTTTACTGCTCTGTGAAGAAGACGATTTTCCCAAGTAGCATAGGCTTCAATAAGTGCGATTACATTGTATAATTTTCGCTACTGCACCTGAATGTTGTGAATGTTGCCTACCTAGTAATTGAAGGAGAGGCTTGCTTCTCTCATTGAAGTTTATCGTAATGTTTCCCATCTTCAATTTTCGATTGAAGACAACGTGTGACGAGCTGCATTCTAAACTGCTACAAACTTTTTTTTTTCAAATTGCAAATTGGTACATTTTCTCTCTAACTCAATCCATTTCTAACCCACCGTTATGGAGTCCCACTGTTGTTTCAAGCCTTATCTCTTCATGGAAAGTTAGACTGAATGTAGAGGTGGACTCTATTTGTATTGTAAAGCAGTTGTACTCCTTTATTACGGCTTCAAATCTAAGAACTTCTGAGTTTAAGACTCCTGAGGGTAATTTTCAAAGAAAACTAGTCGCTTTATCGTTTTTCTCACGAAATTTCAAATAGAAATGAATAATTTGATCTAAAATCCTTGAATTTTGCTGGAGTTCTATTTAGTTAAGCGCTCTTATAGGTAATGTAGTGAAATACTATGTTGGTTAATTATGCCTCAGCAATTTTCGTGTGTAATGATACTTTTACCCATTTTTTTAAACCTATATTTTCTCCTAGTGAAGTAAAGTAAAAAAATATTACGGAATATTTTCTCGTGCTTGTTTTACTGTCATTGGGCACACTCACTGATGTCATCAATAATTATTGTTATCTACTCGCCAAAGTGCTTTTGAATTGAGGCAAACTTTAGCTTTTAGTGTCATCTGTGATAATTACTTTACTATCAAGGCTCAGGAGAAGCTAATCTTTAATTGTTGGTAGATTTCCTATAATTTAAAGGAAAATATCGACTACAACTCCTATCTCTCTTTCAAGATATAGATCTCTCAAATGTAATTTGATTATCAAGTTCCTCTACTGAAATTAATTTCGAATGTTAAGTGCTCTTGTTTCAACCTTCTTATGATCCAGTTAGAATTTCAACGCTCAAGCAGTTGTCACAATAAAAGACTTTTTGACCATCATTTACACCTTGCCAATTTCTTACGAAGCAGAATAAAAACTTTTGTTTTTATTTAATTTAACAATTTATTAATTTTCTAACTTCAATGAACCACTACACAGAGTCAGAAATCAAGCATCTAAGTGCATGTTTTCTCACAAAAATTCTTTATCCAACTTAGTGATCACATTTAAGAATTTACAATGTTAATTCATGAGACGTTCTCGCCTATATTCGTGTTTTCTTGTTTCTTGAAGAATAACTTCCTGCTGGCAAAGAAAGAAGAAAGAAAACCCCTCAAAGTTTACATGAATTTATCTAGGCAGACTAACTTAGAGATACCTTACCCTGAAATAATTTTCTCAATGCCCTGAATTTTTATTGGAGCTTGCTCGCATTTTGTGCATTGGGAGAGAAAGCACAAATTTGAATCGACTAATTTTATCATAACAAAAAATGCCAATTTGGTTCATAGCGAGCAAGTGAGCAAAATTTTGTAAGTTTTCAGCATAAAAACGTGTTCAATTTAAAATTTGTGATGAAAAAACGAGTTTTTAGATGCTTCAATTTTGATTCTATATTGTGGTCTACTCTGAAAAGCCAATGTAAATTACGGGTTTTACTTTTTACATTTAATATTCATATCGATTTTAGGTCTTAGTTTAGTCTTTATTTTTTTATTTTTTATAAGTTTTTACTTTTTTCAAAATATTATCACAGAAAATCAAAATGTCGCTTTAGAGATTAGCAATATAATTAAGTGATAAATTGTGTTACTTTATGGTTAGTTTTCCTCACGCATTATATTTTGTCACAACAAGTAAGTTGTTAGTATTTCATATCGCATCATGGATGTCAAAGTCTGGTGCAAGCATTGGTTTTGTATGTTACGATGACTGTAAGATTAGTTGACTGTTTAGTGTCTATCAATTTAATGCTTAGTGTCAGTACTCTAATCATTTTTTGCTCAACCATCTTTATCTTATGCAGAGTCTCCACCAAAAAAGCTAATAGGTTTTTTTCTGATTTTACCATACTTTTTTAACTTTATTAACTGCACTCTCTTCAGAGTAAACACTATACTATTTTTTTGATAAAAGAAGAAACTTCCATCTTTTACTAATTAATTATTATAATTTGTTTTGTCTTCCATAATGTGTTTTCTGAACAGGTGCGATTTTGATAAATTTTAGCAATCTTTGATTCTAAGTACTCTAACTGTCAGACAGTAAGTTGCAAAGACATAAGGCCATGTTTTTGTTGGTGAATTTTTGAAAACTTTAAAACTTGGCGCTTATGTAAATACTTTTGCGCTTTTTTATTGATCTCAACTTCAACTAATGTCACCCATTTGTATATTATGTGTTTTGGCAAATACATGACTTTTTGTAACTTAAACTTTTTTTTTCAATTCAGTACTTTCTTTCTTTAGAGAAATTTTAGAAAGCTTCAGCAAAAAAACCTAGTTTTTGCCATTTGATTGACCTTGTCTGCAAATTTGAAGGAAAACCTATCCCAAATTATCTAAAAAATGAGTATTATATTGGTGGAAATTTGGCAATATTTGCTACAGCATTCCTTCTAACGGAGTGGTGTGTTTCCTTTTAGAAGAAAAAAAGATCTTAGCACAGGTAAACGCAAAAATTGAGTCGTAGGTTTGACAACTTTGAGGGATTTTAAAGGAACATTTTAGCAAGAAAAATGCGCCAAAATTTCAAACCAAACGAAAGTTATGACGATATGAAGTTTGGAAGTTGTAGTCTTGAGGAAAATCCATGCGAAATGATTATACTTTGCCATGTTTTGGCATTAGAATTGTCAGATTAAAATACAATTTCGCACCCGTCATTGGCTTGACATGTTCCTTACTTGCACCGAACTTATTCTTTTAGATTTCTTTGAAAACTTAAATACTGAATTTTTTACTCAACTTGAGTAACAACGCTTTTCTGAAGAATTCCTCTCCATGCACCTTAGTTCTTTTTTCAGAGGACACTTTTGTAAGTGGCTTTAAACAGAGGAAGTCGATCTTTATTGAAAGTCAAGAAAAAAACTTTAAGGAAACGACAGAAAAATGAAAACCAAGAATTAGGAAATTAGAGATATTTAATGACAGATATCATACACCAGCCTCCTATTAACAGTAATGAGATTGCTCGAGTATTACGTAAGGTACTTTCTCCCTCAGATTCATGCAACCTCCTTCTTTGTAAGGAAATGGGCCTGTTGCAAACTTTTGCTAGAGCAAAAATAAGAGTTGTTTCTTATAGATAATGCCTCAAAAATCACGATGAGCGCATCGGCAAAGTCTGAAATGCACTCATAACTTCACAATCTGCGTAAGAAATTTGCGGTTTTTTAAGCTTCCCGCTTCAAAAACGATACTACGGCATAGGTGAACATTTTGTTAGAGGAGTCGCTCCATCGTCGGCGATATTCATCATGGCCGACGCTTGCACGCAGTTCCTCGCGTAATTCGAGGAGAGTTCAAGGTCAATCAATTCGGGCGTGGAAAATATGAACGTTAACACACCGATTGTTATCTGGTCTAATCCAGTTCAGGTGTTATCTCGTCCCATCAAACGTGTTTTGGCGGATTGGCGTCGGCTATGATGATTATTGCCGACGATGGAACGACTCCTCTTACAAAATGTTCACCTGTGCCGTAGTATCGTTTTTGAAGCGGGAAGCTCAAAAAACCGCAAATTTCTTACGCAGTTTGTGAAGTTATGAGTGCATTTCAGAGTTTGCCGATGCGCTCATTGTGATTTTTGAGGCATTATCTATAAGAAACAATTCTTAGTTTTGCTCTAGCAAAAGTTTGCAACAGGCCCATTTTTTGATATTTTGGTGATTAAGTGCAATACTGCCTTAAAGACACCACCTGCCCCCTGCCGTAGATGGTTTTCTATGTAATATTGATTGTTTGAATATCACTTGGGTACTCTTGGACACCTTCATCTTAATAGTGACTTATCTGGGGTCCAACTCAGGGGCTTGTCTTATTATTGTCTTGTGGCACAGAGTTTGGTAGGTTCTGTGCTGCATGAAGCTGAGATGTGTTGTAAATCATGGACAAGTTAGTTTGGAATTTTTTCTAATTTTATTCCAACATCCAAGATGGCTGAAAAATGGAGTAGAGAGATGCACTCGTATCTACCCTACCTTACCTTGCCACCTAATATTTATTTCCATTGTTTTATTTTTCCAGATGATCCTGTTGTTAAGGAGCGATTTTTGAGGGAACGCCACATCTTTAATACTAGACAGTTATTAAGATAACTTCAAAATGTTTTGTGACATTAAGAAACAGCTTGGGCCAATCAAAGCGCACTATGTTTTATTCTTTGGAGGTGAGTAGTAGTTTACTTTTAAGCTAACCCATCCCTCTTTTCAATGCCAGGCTCTGCCAGAATGTTCTTCAAAAATGTTTAAAGAAAGAAATCATAGTGAATATTCTTAGGTATTCTCCTTGATCCATTGGCTTTTTTTTATCATTAAGGCAGCCATGAGTCCCTATTTTATATGTTTTCTCTAAATTTTATCTTCTTACGCATACATATTTTCATTTCATCAAAATTTTTAATTAATTCAGAATTATTGCTCTTCAAAGCAAAAGAAGCCTATATTCCAATACAAATATACAATAAAAATAACACTGATCTTCATCCTTGTAGTTATGTTTGAAGCAAACCCTTTGAATTTTGTGACAGGGCTTCTTTACATTTTAGGTACAAGAGAAGTGTCTAGAATTGTGTATCTATTTAAATAAATCTTTGTATATCTCATGTTTTTTGTTTTTTTTGTGTTTTTTGTTTTGTTTTGCATATTCACCAATCTGTTTGCTTTTACTTTCATTTTAGCTATGGGTTCAATGTACCCATTCATCCCAATAATCATAACAAATATGGGTTTCTCCAGCAATATTGTCGGGATTGTCTTCCTTTGGTTGCCTATTTGCGGCATGTTTGCCAAAACCTGGTTTGGAGCACTAGCAGACAAATTCAAAAGACAGAGGTTCTGCTTTCTTCTCTTCATTTTTGCATCACTCGCCTTCACTCTACTCATTCTCTTATTACTGGCCATCACAAAGAAGCCATCCGCATCTCTGGAATGTAATTCATCGGGCACAAATTTCAATTTTTGTTCTGGCAGTAGAATAGCGGAGAAAGAAAAATTGGCATTCTTGAAAGAGAATACTTCAAAAATGACCTGTCGCGTAAGTGTGGATCTCATTTGTTCTCATTATCTGATCCTAGGTTTTTAAATTGTATTGTTTTTGTTAATTATTAGTTGGTAGTCAGTGAGGGTGGAGCTGATCAGGGAAGCATCCCCATGGGGTCTATGCAACTAACAGAAACTCTTCTGGCTCGAAGTTGGATCACGCTTTTCAATTTTTACCAATGACTTAAATCTTACTCCCAGAATGTTCGGTTGTATTGACAACTCTGCAGACGTCAGAGAAGCCGAAATTGAAATCTTTAAGTTTTAAGTTGCTGGAAGATGAATTCAAAATTATTCTCTCTAATTTTACCAGAATACCTTAAAAATCAATAAAACAGGGTATGATGAAGCCCACTTAAAACGAATTTTACGAGTTTTAGAAAAACTTTTTTATATCCAAAGCTTTACTGAAAGCGAACTTTGGTTGAAAAATGGGGATAGTAGCGAGAGTTTTACATTTAAAAATTGCAAGAAAGTGTAAAAAGATTAAATATGTATGTGATAAAAAAATTAATCTATAATTAACAAATTAATTTTAATTACCCTGGTACTTGTCGATATTCATAAAGGAAGAATCTATTAACATCTGCACCGTTTTTGACCGGCAGGCGTTTCTTACAAAGTCATTTTAGATTTTAAGTAGCAAATCCAACAACCAACCAAGACAATCTCTATCATTCAACAAGTCATGAGTGATTTTTATTTCAGCTAGTCTGCCACAATGATACATCAAATGTGCATCATTCAACTGAAGAACTGTGCAAATCTTGGGGTTTATCAAGTTATTGTGGAACATCAAAGTTCTCCAGCAGTCAGGATGATCTCTCCTCTCCTGCCAGCATGGTCAGCCTTGAGGATGTTTTTGCCAGCCTCAAACAAAAGCAACCTGGTCATAAACACTCCATTTTTGAGTTTTCTACATTTGTTTCCAAAAATTCTTCTTTTGAGGTAAGTTTCTGTCTTAAATTTTCCCACAAAATTACATTGTAGATGACATCATGTCAAAATATTTGTCCCAAGATTGTAGGCGGTGTTAACCTTTCTCACTATCATCAACAAATTTCATCTTGAATCTGCGTTAGAAATTATAATTTTTATGTGATGATTAAATTCCTCCAATTTTTTTTTTTTTTGATGATTTTAATTTCCGTTGCTCATAATCCTTATCGGTGATGTCTTGAATAAGGTCCAAAACACCTGTAAAAATTTTAAAGAAGAAAATTTAACAAAATTAACGAAGCCGTAGTGAATTAACAAACATCAGGGGAGGGAGAATGATAGCAATCCAAAATATTTAGAACATTATTGATCAATTTAATAAAATGAAATGAAGTTGTAGCACGTCATCAAAAATCAAATGGAAATCTTTGTGTCAAAACGAATTCAATAGTATAATTATGTAGGAATCATCCAATGAAACGTAATTCACATACTTATACTTTGCTTTCACAGCGTACTCTTGCACTCTGTGACACTCAAATGCCACATGTGCCTATCTTTCCGAAGGTTATAGAGCAACTGACAACGGTAGATCTATCTGTTGACGCCGCGCAGTCTTCCCTTCATGGACAACCCTGTTGCCTTTTTCCAGGGGGCACCCAATCCAAAACTTGCTTGGGCAACCTCTCCTCTGGCATTCCTTGCCTTTGTCCATACCACATTAACTGCTTATAACTAACATGGTTTTTGTATTCTCAACATATTCAGTGAAAGATCCATGAGTGCAAAAGCCTTCGTTATGATATCAATCACCAAGCCCTAGTCATAGGTTTTTTAAGTATTTAAAATATATTGCAGTTAGTTGAGCTGTTGCATGGTTTTCTCATGATTTCTTGAACCAGCGAAAATATAGTTCTGGTTCTTGGTCCTTTAATCACTGGTCATGTAGCCAAATTAATAAAATACAATGATTGTATGGAAGTCAGCTAAAATATTTTCAAATTAGTCTTGTAATCACTCTAAATGGAAAAGCAGGTATGTGCTAGCACCTATTTCTGTCACATAATGGACCACTAGACAAGGTACAAATTTCAGCATTCTGATACATGTTTCTTAACTTAAATTTCACGTAGAATACAACGCGCACAATGAAAATTACCGAGATCAACTCCTTCCAAAGATATTTAATGGTTCTTGATGCGTGAATTCAAATCACCCGCTCATAAAAACTCAATGCTCTGCGTGATTCACATCAGGCGCTAAACGTTATTATGACAGTCTCTGCGATATAAAAATCTGGCAACCTCAATCTTGAAGCTTTGACTCAGCTGTAGCAAACTGCTCATAGTTTTAAGAACACATGGTGGGAAATGTATATTGCTCGATTGAGAGGCTTGCCGAAACCGTTGTAGTGCGCGATTTGACTCACATAGAGCTTTGAGTTTCTTGTCAGCTAGCAGTTCAAATTCCTTGTAACCAATGTAAAATAAAAACGTTAATATCTTCTTTAGGAGTTAGTTTCATTAGTTTCCATTGCGTTAATCGTGCTGTATGTGAAATTTTGGTTAAGAAACATGTATCAGATTGCTTAAATGCGTACCTTATCTAGTGATTCATTGTACTAAAAGTAAAAATTAATCGCTGTGGCCTGAATTATCATTTAAACTAGAGGACCATTCAGTGAAAAATCCTTAGTTGTTTAGTGATGCCTGAACATTCTAATTCATATTGTTATTTATTTTTCAGTTGAACAACTGCATGTACTTTCCACTTGAAAAATTAACCTACCGCAATGCTCAGATTCAGGAGATGAAATGTTCTAAAACTTATGTGTCCATCTGTGACATGCATTGTGAAAGCCATGCCTTGAATGAGCTGTGGATACAGTCAACAGCAGATGCCCAGATCAGCGACACTGATGCATTTCGAATGTCCCTTTTTTGGATCCTTTTTCTCATTCTCATCGGTGTGTCCTCATCTCTGGCTGTAGTCATGATTATCGGTGATGCCATCTGCTTTAAATTACTGGGTTAGATTCTCAATATTTACCTGTTATTGTTAAAGGGACATCTCAAATTAAGCCTTTATCTATTTATCTATTAATGTATGTACAGTGTGGGAGCCATCCAGTCAATATAAACTTCAAGATCAGCATTTTTGACGCTTTTTTTAAGTGACACTTGCGTTTCTGCGCATCTGTCACTTGATTTCTAAGAAGCAGAACACCGCTACTCTCCTAGGTATAAAAGTAAGGAAAACCGATGAGTTCAAAAATGCAAAAAGGAATAATTTCAAAAAAGAAAAAGTGAGAATTATCAATATAAACTTTTCAAATTCAAACAAGTTTTTTTAAAATTTGAATTTTTTTTATCTGTTAATAGATAGCGTTAATTTTGAATCAGTACTTCTGGAAAAGGTAGAAGTTAAATTTTTCAAAATCTTTCTTTTTTTGCATTTTTGACGCTTTTTTTACGAGGACACTTGTGTTCCTGCGCATCTGTCTCTAGAGTTCTAAGAAGTGGAATACCGCTGCTCTCCTACGTATAAAAGTAAGGAAAAGAGAAAAAGAGTTCAAAAATGCAAAAAAGAATAATTCCAAAAATTGGACTTGTGTCCTTTTTAAAAGCACTGATTTTATTGTGATTTTGAGAAAAATGTGTTTTGGTTTTCAGTTAGAATATTAAAACCTAAAAGATCATGATTAAACAAACTTCATTTGGCAACAAGAAACTACTATGACTCATTCATTTAAGTACCTGTCTTCACGGGTAATTTAAATGGTACATAAGTTGTGTCTAAAAGGAGAGTTGATGATTTTGCCAAGTTGTGTCAAATTTTAGCATGAAATTGATCCTCTCATCTTATAGAGAAAGCTAATTAGAGCACTTTTGCTCTCAAGAGACTCATGCTGTTTGGTGCATTACTATTCACAGCAAAATAAGAACGCAACTGTAGATGCATTTCAGGTCGCATTGGACCCATCACTTGTGCTGCACAGCCACCTGATTCTCTGCTTCCAAGTTCGGATATTTAGACACATAAGACTTATACTTTGACCTATTTATCTTTTTTTCTCAAGATTTTTCTTAAATTTCTTTTTTTATAGTCTAAATAGGCATACTACATCCTAATTTCTCTAATTTTGTTCTTTATTGACCAACATTTGATTATATTTTTGTGTCTTTGTTAAAGAGGATGAGCCAGAACTCTTTGGACTACAGCGTCTTTGGGGTTCTATTGGCTGGGGCCTTGCTGCGTTTGCATCGGGTTATTTGGTTGATCTAGCAAACGAAGGGAAAGAGTACAAGAATTACAAAATATTGCTGTACACAAGTATTGTTCTTTTTGTCCTTGATCTAATTGCGGCTTTCAACATCAAAGTAAGAGCACTTCATAATAGCCATGTTTTCTTTGTTTGTTAATTAAAGTATCTCCCTTGCTTAAAATATTGAAGTTAAATATCAAACTAAAATATTTTTCACAAGTTTTCTGATCTAGAAATTTAGAGCAGATTTCAGGTTGTCAGTTTTTTTGACAGGACTAATAAAAAAAAAATTTCAAAAAGAAGTAACTTCTTTCACAACCTGCCTAATGTAATCATTTACTCCTATGAATGCGTTTTTGATGGCAAATTTCACGTTCGTTGGTATGAGTTTTTCCGTGAAAATTCCAATTTCAGTGATTTACACTAATTTTTTGCCGTTGTTCTAATTTTGGAAATCGCCCATGCGTCAGGAGAAATTTGCATTCAATTAATGTTAAAGAAAAATGCTTGTGTTGCTCAGATGGTCTAGAGGAACTTAAGAAGTTGGAGTCCCTTCACCATGTTTTCTTGGTCAATTAAAATAATAGAACATTTCATAATTTAAAAATAGACAGGAGAAGGCGGGGATGAGGATGAAAAATCACACAATAATTATAAATTATGGGATGTCTCGACCGGTCTCCTGGTCATGATCAAGCGTCATTATCAACCAATTAAAAAATCTAAGAAAACAAAAGCTAAAAACAATGTTACCGGTCCCTGGTCATGGCGGCTAGAAGACAAGGTTACTCCAACCAAGCCTAGCAAAAAAAGTGAACTTTTTTCTTCCATTGAACTTCTTTTCAAGAAAAAAGTTCACTTTTTTTCTGTTAGGCTTGGTTGGAATAACCTTGTCTTCTAGCCGCCATTACCAGGGACCGGTAACATTGTTTTTAGGTTTTGTTTTCTTAGATTTTTTAATTCTTTTTGACGGTTGATAATGACCGGGAGACCGGTGGAAACGTCTTGATTTGTAATTATTCTGTGTTTTTTCAGCCTCGTCCCCTCCTTTTCCTATCTATTTTCATTCTATGTTCTTGGGCTACCACAGTGTACTTTTTTCTATATTTCATAATTTATGCAATAAATTTACCTTTCTTCATAAAAAGTAAATTAAATCGTCAGCTAAAAGCTTATTTTTGTTCTGTAACTTCTTTTAACTCTTCCAAGATGTATTTCTATGGAATTTCATCTCGCTATACATAAGAGTCATGATTTGAGGATGTGTTTTTCAGGACTTAAATTTAATATTTTAAGGCATTTGCAAGTATGGAAGGTGATGCTCTCATCTTACCTTGCATCTCGGAAACTGCTATTAGAGTGAAAACAACTTGTACAAAGTAATTCGGCTTTTTCAAGCCCACCATAAGCCCTTTTATCATTGCATTTATTTTCAACTCATCTGTTGCAGTGTGTTCAAACTGAAGTCTCACCTAGCATTTTTAAAGATGTCTCCAATTTGCTGAAAAAGCCCCAAGTTGTCGTATTCTTTGCGTGGTGCATCATAGTTGGATTTTTCTCTGCGATCGTATGGAATTTTTTATTTCTGTACATTGAAGATTTAGCAGCTGCCTTTATCTCGGAGAAAGATTTGATGGTAAAAACTCTGCAAGGTCTTGTTGTCAGTGTACAAACCATTGGAGGAGAAGTACCTTTCTTTTTCCTGTCGGGTAAGCCATACTTCATTTTCATGTGCATACACACATGCAATTAGTTTAAACGGCAAATATTGGTAGGAGGACATTTTAAGTCATTAACTCTTTGAATAATCTTTGAAGATATAATCAGGTTTTATGAGTGAGCGAAGAGAAATTATCAGTGGCCAAACTTAGAAACCTTGCATCTGAAGTTCTATTTTGCAAAATTTCATTGCATCTTTTAATACAAATCAAAATAATGTCTCGAAGTACAAATATTTACAAAATGACCGTAAAGTAGTAATAGTAAATTAGGGAATAGAAATCCTAGAACATTCTGAGCCATAATTTTAATTTTGTGTGCCTCTGAAAAAGTAAAGTGTGCGCAAAAATTTTGGAATTTTGTGATGGGGATTTATGGTTTTGCAGCTTAACCAAATCGTCGCTTGCCTGACATGAGGGCATAACTACACTTCGAGACAAGTCCGGGAAACCATTGATTTATATGGACAACAGGGTTTATTGCCCAGTGGCGTTACATCCTTATGTCAAGAGGGCGACAAAATCATGATCTATGGCCAAAGCTGGACTTGAAAAATCATCATTCTATTAAAAGTTGAAAACAATTGTGTTTCAAACTTCCCTCATTTCTTTTTTGTCTTTCGCAATACCATATTTTGATGATGAAACGAGAATAAAATATCTTGGTTTAACCTTGCATTAATGTGGTTTCAGAGTTCATTGATTATTGATACTTCAAAGAATTTCAATTGATTATTCCTTATCCTAAAAGGATTATATCCTATTGGAGTGTATCGGAGCTGGATAAAGATTTTGTATTCCACTTTTGCCTGTGGTTTGCTTGACGACCTTGAGCATGCAAAAAATTGAAACAAACGCTCCAATGAGACTTGGTTACTATGGATGGAACTTTCGAACTAGAATTTTCTTGTAAAATGTTGAAGGAATGCACTGAGGAAAATTCTCCCAAAAAATAAAATATTACTGAAAAGTTTGAGACTTGGGAATCCACGTTAATATGTGCTTTTCTAGTTTCATCATGTATTTATTTGTTTTTGTAAATACGTTGCGTTCCAGGTCCAATTTTGAAGAAGATTGGTCATATCAATGCTATGTCTCTAGTATTGGCTGCATTCAGCATCCGTTTTATTCTAATATCACTTGTCGTGAACCCGTGGTACATTTTACCCGTAGAACTACTCAATGGGTTAACATATGGTATGTTGACTGTTGCAATGAATTCATATGCAGCTCTTATTGCTCCTCCTGGAACAGAATCCACAATGCAAGGCCTTGTAGGGGCAATTTTTGAAGGGATAGGTATGTGCTATTTTTACTTTTTCTTTTTTCAGGATTGTTATTTGATTTCTCAATGTGCAGCAACTTAATATCCTTTGTTTCTCTTTACGTTTGTGCAGTGGGCCTGTTGCAAGATGTGGGGATTTGCAAATTGATGCCTGATTCTTATGGCACATTTCACGAAAAGGACAATGGCGCTACTAAAAAACATTGAAATGACCTCTCAAACCCAAAAAAAGCTGTTTTTGGAACCGACCCATTCAAAACGGTCACTTTTACGCGGTAACGGGTCCGCCATACTTGTGACATGTTATGGTTCGACAGACCTGGTTTCTTCATCACTTACGATGTATTTTCCCGTAAGGAAATGACAGCCGCTTTTCAAATGCAAATATCGAGTCAATCGATAATTTTTTGATCAAAATGGAATTCAGAAATGGATTCCTCGTACGTTTAAATGGTTGAAACCTTCATAAGATTAATAAGAACCGACGGGATAAACCCTATTTTTGAGGAAGATTGTAGTCAATGGGCGATTGTTTACATCTGATTAGTGATAACAGACATGGACATTAGCTCAATATTTAGCCATTTTCATGAGTTTTTACTTTTTTGTCACTATCTGAAGGTAAGTTTATTTTGTAAATCCATTGTTTAGTGCCTTAGGATCATGTTAAAAGCTGTAACGGTACACATTGTTATTTATTAATTCAGAACACTCTCCGGCAGTCCAACGCTCAAACCTGGATGTAGCGAGTCAGTTGTTATTTCTTAATATTTCACCCTTCAATGTTTTACTGAAGACACCAAAATGATAGTATCAATCATTGATGATAAAAAAACTTACCTTTGACAATACTGATGAGATGAGGAGACCGGTATGTTTTAGATGGAGGCAAGGAAAGTAGACGTAGGATCCTTCTGCGGTTACCAGACTTATTGATAAATTTTTCTGTATAGTGTTACATTAAAAACATACAGGATTTTAAAGTACCTAACATAAGTTTATAAAACATGGAAACGTTCTGAATGATATTGAGATGTTTGTTGAAGAGTTAAGAATGATTCAGACGCATTGAGAGAACATCCTCGGTTTGAGCGTTTGACTGCCGGAGTGTGTTCTGAATTAATAAGTATCAATGTGTACCGTTCCAGCTTTTAACATGATCCTAAGACACTAAACAATTGATTTGCAAAAGAAACTTACCTCCAAATAGTGACAAAAAAGTAAAAACTTGTAAAGAAGTAAAAAGTAAAATGTCCATGTCTGTTATCAGTAAGCAGATGTAAACAATCGCCCATTGACTACAGTCTTCCTTAAAAATAGGGTTTATCCCGTTGGTTATTATTTATCTAAGGAAGGTTTCAACCATTTAAACGTACGAGGAATCCATTTCTGAATTCCATTTAGTTCAAAAAATCATAGATTGACTTGATATTTGCATTTGAAAAGCGGCTGTCATTTCCTTACGGGAAAATACATTGTAAGTGATGAAGAACCCAGGTCTGTCGAAACATTTCATGTCACAAGTATGGCGGACCCGAAACGACCGTTTTGAAAATCCAAATTCTGAGGCGTTTTTAAGTTGATTTTTTGGGGGTTTACGGTGATCAAAAAACTCCGGGAAAATTCCTGTAATGTCAGGAGCCTTAGTTCTTTCGATTAAAGCAATAAAAAAAATTGGTGCAACAGGCCTGTTGTATTGTTATCTGCTTTCCATTGAATCCAAAGAATCTATTTAGAAAAGAAACTTTAAAGAAACCACCATTCAGTAAATGTAGTTTAGCAATGGCGAAACTATCAAATTACAGATCTCAGTGTTTGTAGATTTCTGCTCATATTTTACTGTACCAAGACTGCTGTTCTTTTTGCGCAAAATTTTTAGAGAATGGTCCTGAGAAAATGAAAAATATGGAATAAAATTTTGTGAAAAATGATGATCAGGCTTCTATCAGGACAGTGAACTGTGACAAAAAATTTGAAACATCGCTGACAGAGACACTATGTATGGTACTTTTAGATATCGATGACCAACGTGTAAAATCATGTATCTCCGTCTTCGAAATCGTAAACTTCCAATCATACTTCATTTTTTCTGTTTTGAACTGGTTAACGTAATTTCTTAAAAACTTTCATGATTTTCCTTCCATGTCAGCAGAATATTTTGTATGAATTTCAACCTATTAAGTTTCGGTTGCGTCTCCTCAAAAAAAAAAAGTAGGAGCGGACATTGTGAAACCCTGCAAAGGAGATATGTGGTTTCGTATATGTATGACCATCTAGATATTGCATAGTGGTGGTCCCCTCTGATTCATAATCAAAAATCTTAAAGAGAATAGTTGTTTTTTTAAAGTCTTAGAAGTGCTGCAGAATTTAAACTTTCATATGTGCAGTTGATTCTTACTTATTTTTATTGTTTTTTCAGGTGCCTCAGTTGGAAGCTTCTTTTGTGGATCTTTATACGATACTTATGGAGGAAGAAACTTATTCCGAATTTTTTCCGCAATTGCTGCAGTATCATTTATCATTCATGTGTTGATTCAGTTTGTTCTTAATCTGAGTAAACCCTCCAAAAAGTATAGAGGTGCAGTGACAGAAGGTAACTAACCTTGTACCTCTTTCCCACAGAAAAAAGTTCACAAGTTGTGCAATCAGGATTTCGGTGACAAGAGTGCAAAATCGCATAACTCTGTTTGCGACGTTGCAGACTTCCTATTGTATTTTATTTTTTCTTTGGAAAACTAGTCAATGTAATTTCTCAGGAACTTTCTTGATGTTTCCACTCTATTAGCAGAATATTCCGTGTAAATTTCAAGCTGTAAAAATATCATTTTGCTCTTCAAAAAAATATAATAGAAGCGGAAACATCATAATGGAGATACATAGTTTTTTACTTTGGCCATCGATATGTGTGGCAGTATTTCGATAATTTGCCATAATTGGGAGCTGAGGCACAGCAGCTAATCGATGACTTAAAACAAAAATGGAAAATCTGAAATGAGAAACTCCACTTGAACTTTGAAGGAGGAAAACTTTATTTCTCAAAAAAACCGTTGTGAGAAAGGATGATTTTTCCAATGAAAATCTCATTTCACGTAAAGATTATTTTCCTGAGGATGGACGGTCACAGATTATGCCTGCGGAACCCTCTCAATCAATTGACTGCGAGTAATCTAGATCTTAAAGAAAGTCTTATTATTCTAAAGTTTCTCTCCACTTAAAAATGCTCCTGGTGCACGTTTTTGTTTGTGGAATAAAGTTTATCTCTTGTTTTAAAATTGTAATGAGGAAGCGTATTTTATTGCTAGGGCAGTTGCCTTCTTAGAACACTGGTTCCAACTTAATTAAATATTTCCAAGCTAACTAACCACATCTATTTTCGAGAATTGTTTGCCTGAATGGTTGAATGAACTATTTTATTTCATTAACTTTGCTTGATTCAATCAGACATCATTCAACAGGAAAAATTCATCGATGAAAGTGATAGTAAAAAACAACATACCCGCTACCACAGTACTTTAGCAGTCACAATTTCCTTAAAAATTCCTGTTATATTCAGATCTCTTCTGCCAAATGAATTCCAATTTTCTCATTTTATCTCTCTCAACAAAATTTAATAATAACGCAATGTTTTCAGCGAAGATTTCAAGAGTTTCAGCTGGCAAAGATAGCCAGTTTATTCTAAAAATAAAAAATAAAAATAGAGACTAATGGATTTGTCGGCAAGACTTGAACTGAGTGTTTGATTGGCTTTTTATCTTCTTGCTCTCTTCATTCACTGTAATTATAGTGTTTTTTGTTTTTGTTTCAGGAATTGAAAATGAAGGGCTCCAAATGCAGTAGCCATACTTACATGATGTTTTTTCACCTAAAGTTTTTCACAAATGAAAGTGGATACTTTTGGAAAATTTGGTTCTTCCATACAGTTTATCATCGGGTTAGTCTTTTCTTTTTTCAGTATTTTGAAGATGAAGAGAAAAGAATTTATTCCCTGCAATTTTTTTTATTTTTTTTTATTTATGCAATGCGATAAAAGCTAAGATGTATCATTGAAAGTTTTTGGAAATGTGACCATTTGAAATAGTAGATGCAGCAAAATTTTCAATGGGCCTGTTGCAAGGTGCGGGGATTTGCAAATTGATGCCTGATACCTATGGCAAATTTCTCGAAAAGAACGATGGCGCTACTAAAAAAACTTGAAATGACTTCTCAAACTCAAAAAAAGCTGCTTTTGGAACCGACCCATTCGAAACGGTCACTTTTACGCGGTAACGGATCCGCCATACTCGTGGCGTGAAATGGTTCGACAGACCTGGTCTTTTCATCACTTACAATGTATTTTCCCGTAAGGAATTGGCAGCCGCTTTTCAAATGGAATTATCAAGTCAATCTATGATTTTTTGAACAAAATGGAATTCAGAAATGGATTCCTCGTACGTATAAATGGTTAGAACCTTCATTAGATAAAAAACAACAAACAGGATAAATCCTATTTTTGAGGAAGTCTGTAGTCAATGGGCGATTGTTTACATCTGCTTAGTGATAACAGACATGGACATTAGCTCGATATTTAGCCATTTTCATGAGTTTTTACTTTTTCGTCACTATTTGAAGGTAAGTTTCTTTTGTAAATCCATTGTTTAGTGCCTTAGGATCATGTTAAAAGCTGTAACGGTACACATTGTTATTTATTAATTCAAAACACTCTCCGGCAGTCCAACGCTCAAACCTGGATGTAGCGAGTCAGTTGTTATTCCTTAATATTTCACCCTTCAATGTTTTACTGAAGACACCAAAATGATAGTATCAATCATTGATGATAAAAAAACTTACCTTTGACAATACTGATGAGATGAGGAGACCGGTATGTTTTAGATGGAGGCAAGGAAAGTAGACGTAGGATCCTTCTGCGGTTACCAGACTTATCGATAAATTTTTCTGTATAGTGTTACATTAAAAACATACAGGATTTTAAAGTACCTAACATAAGTTTATAAAACATGGAAACGTTCTGAATGATATTGAGATGTTTGTTGAAGAGTTAAGAATGATTCAGACGCATTGAGAGAACATCCTCGGTTTGAGCGTTTGACTGCCGGAGTGTGTTCTGAATTAATAAGTATCAATGTGTACCGTTCCAGCTTTTAACATGATCCTAAGACACTAAACAATTGATTTGCAAAAGAAACTTACCTCCAAATAGTGACAAAAAAGTAAAAACTTGTAAAGAAGTAAAAAGTAAAATGTCCACGTCTGTTATCACTAAGCAGATGTAAACAATCGCCCATTGACTACAGTCTTCCTTAAAAATAGGGTTTATCCCGTTGGTTATTATTTATCTAAGGAAGGTTTCAACCATTTAAACGTACGAGGAATCCATTTCTGATTTCCATTTTGATCAAAAAATTATCGATTGACTCGATGTTTGCATTTGAAAAGCGGCTGCCAATTATTTATGGGGAAATACATTGTAAGTGATGAAGAAACCAGGTCTGTCGAACCATTTCACGTCACAAGTATGGCAGATCCGTTACCACGTAAAAGTGACCGTTTTGAGAATCCGAATTTTTGAGGCGCTCTTGAGTTGATTTTTTGGGGATTTCTGGTGATCAAAAAACTCTGGGAAAATTCCTGTGACATCAGGAGCCTTAGTTCTTTCGATTAAAGCAATAAAAAAAATTGGTGCAACAGGCCCATTAAGATTTAATCAATTATTACTAGTTACGTAGACTTGCATATCAGTGGCTAAATGCAAAAAAATATGTATTTTAAATACAGCGTTTAAAAATCGGTGATTCTGATTCCGTTTTATTTTCTTCAAAGAAAAATCTGTAAAATGATTCCTTGCAATTTCTTGTGACTTTTTTTAAGAATGAGTGAAAATATTTTCTAAAGAAACCTTTTGTTAGTGCTTCCAAAAGAAAAAAAATATAATACCGGTGGAGACTTACAACGTTGCGGTGTTACATACAAATTTTCCAACCTAGCCATAGATATGTTATTTTTTTTACATCACGGCTCCTGGCCATTTGACTCTGTCAAGGCGCCGTAACTAAGAACTTCGTTAGTAACATCCCTGTATTATCAAGAAAAATAAGTCTAAGTTTAAAAATGGTTTAAAATCTTATAAGCCTTCTATTAATGTTAAACTATTGCCGGTAATTGAGGTTTTGATGTTAATTTTTACCGAAACAAGTTTGTTTCCTTTAAAACAATGGTGGCTCAGGTTCATTTTTATCTTAATTGTTTTAAAACCCCACCTCTTCTTTCATTTATTGAAAGGTTTGATTATTGTATGGAAAGTTAATTTTTTTGCTCACCCTAGATGATCTGCTGGAGAATCAAAACCAAATTACCAATCAAAGCCAAGTATTCCGGCTCTTTTTTTTGTAAGTTCAAAGTGTGGTAACGAAGTTTGTTTAGTCGGTAGGCATGGGCAGGCAGTCTGTGAAATGCTCATTGAAAAATGGAAAGGGGAAATTGGTAATCTTCGGACTGATTTCGGGGTAAATTGAGCCAGTTGTATTTGCTGTTTTCAACCGAACGTAGCGCACTCTATCGGGACTTGTTGGTTTTAATTTTTATGTCATGACTGTTACCTGCTGTCCTTGTGTGGGCGGAATGTGAATTAGTGTTCACTTGCTTTTCCGGGAGGGCTGGATGGAATAACCTTGTCTTCTCACTGCCATGACAGGGGACCGGTAACATTGTTTTCTAGCTTCCGTTTTTTAGATTTGTTAATTTTTCCTTTCTTGACAGTTAATAATGACCGTGAGGCTGGTCAAAATGCCCCGTATTTTGTAAATTGTTGTGTTTTTCAGCCTTGTACCCGCCTTCTCCTGTCCTACATAGGGTGTTCAAAAAGTTTTGCACAGTTCCGGGTTTTGCGCGAATAAAAGCAGTTATCGATTTGCGGTTTGTGTGTGCTTAAAGGCGACGCAATTACCAATAAAACAAGACCAAGAACAACTCTCTAGCTTAAAAAATGACAGAGATACAGGGTTTTGAAAATAGCATGTAGCGTGACTGCCTCCAGGATTATTAGCCACAAATATGTTTGTCAAGAAAAAAAAAGTTAAATGAGATTTGAGTATTTTTATCGAAAAAACTTACAAAATCTCACGGAAATAGACAAACTTCAAGCTTCTTCATCGGATGACACGGCTGACTCAACATTCGGCTGTTTTTTGAAGTATTTTCCACCACTTTGAACACAAAGCTTCAGCCGTTCTGCCCACTTCACAAGGATCGTCTTATCGAAGTCTTCTTGACGGAGGGTTTTGAAGAATTTTTGAACAGCGGTTTCAATCTCGGCTATGGAATGGCTCTCTCCTGAGTTAAAGAAATTTCTAAAAGGCACACAGTTTGATTCCATAGCTGAGATCGAAACCACTGTTCAAAAATTCTTCAAAACCCTCTGTCAAGAAGACTTCGATAAGACGATCCTTGTGAAGTGGGCAGAACGGCTGAAGCTTTGTGTTCAAAGTGGTGGAAAATACTTCAAAAAACAGCCGGATGTTGAGTCAGCCGTGTCATCCGATGAAGAAGCTTGAAGTTTGTCTATTTCCGTGAGATTTTGTAAGTTTTTTCGATAAAAATACTCAAATCTCATTTAACTTTTTTTTTCTTGACAAACATATTTGTAGCTAAAAATCCGGGAGGCAGTCACGCTACATGCTATTTTCAAAACCCTGTAACTCTGTCATTTTTTAAGCCAGAGAGTTGTTCCTGATCTTGTTTTATTGGTAATTACGTCGCCTTTAAGCTCACACAAACCGCAAATCGATAACTGCTTTCGTTCGTGCAAAACCCGGAAATGTGCAAAACTTTTTGAACACCCTATGTACTTTATATCACATTGAAAAATGAATTATTGATATATTTGTGCCCACCAACATGTTCCCATCACACAAGGCTCTCGTGTTACTTTAGTTAGTGTACTAGCAGTATTTTTTTAACTGAAATTTCTTACCTAGAATGATGCTTAACGTGCCATCTGAAGCAGAGTAAGGCCTTGCCTCCATGAGACCTTTTCCCACAATTTGTCGCAGCAAAATTTCGCCGTTACAAAGTTGCCACAACTATGGACGAACGTAATATTAATCGCAGCTCTTAGTAGAGTCCTTGAAGAGCTCCAAGACCATCTGAGAGGGAAAGAAGAATTGAAAACGAATTGTGTGATGTTATGTCGTTCCCCCAATTGTTCAAGTTTGTTTATTTTAAATAATAATTCGTTCTTTTATTAATCTTCCTGTACAAACTTGTCAAAAGAGGGTGAGATACCTGTCTCTTGGAGACGTAAATAGCAAAAAATCGCCGAAGTTCCTTTCATGGGATTTGAAGCTGTGACAAATCTCCCAAAAACTCCTTGTGGAGACATGGTCTTACCTACTGCCAGGAAATACTTCTTTTACCTCTAAATTTTTTATAAAAAAAGATCTTTCTATCTCATCTCTAGTCATTGATTGTTTTACCTTTGTTAAGTATGATTTGGAAGGAAAAGCAGAGAAGGCACTCTGTAATGTTCGGATTTTCAAGTATATACTAAGAAAAGTTCATTTTTTTATTTTTGAGTACTTTTGTTTTTGTATATAGGGCAAGGTTTTAAAGTGATTATACGACTGAAACAGCTTTTAATCCAGTAATCCCCGGAACCTTGGCTCTAAAGAAGCGGTTCTCAACCTTTTTTGGCCGTAGACCACTTTTCCACTCAGAGAAGAGGCTGCGGACCACCAACGAAAATGAAAGACCCTCCTGGATTTTCGGCTTTCCCAACTCGAATTTTAATATAATGTTATTCTTCTATAAAAACGTTGTGACTGACTTTCCTGCACCAGTTTGTCAATATTCAGATCAGTGTTGGAGAATTCTAGGGTGCTGCCCTATTTTGAACAAAGATAAAAAAAAAAAATTGGCAAGCTTTTGCGCACTACAACTCATCAGCCCACCTACCACCGGTTGAGAACCACTGCCTGTTGATCTGTTTTGACTGTACTCTAAAATAAAGAACTATCTGATTCATTTTAAAAACAATGAATGTGTTTTCAAGTTGTTTTATAAATTGTTTTGAGAAGCACATCGATTGTGAGCTTTTCTACTTCCATCAAAAGCAGTGATAAATAAGTACAGTAAGTTTTGTACGAAAAGAAAAATGCTTTAATTTACAAGAATAACAATGTAAAGGACATCATTAAAATACTTCCAACAACAAGTGATCAAGGTATCATACATCACAGAGAGTGCACGTTCTATTCAATTTACAGTACTTTTCTAATTTATATTACAATATTTTTGGTACGTAAAATATCTTGTAAAAATAAGAAATCTTTAATTCTATCTTCTACCAACACTGTCATCAACATCAAGTGCCAAGGCCTTAGCAGTTCAAGTTTGATCTAAAATAGTTACTTAGAAGCAGCACTAATTTATTTTATATCCAACAAGTATTCTTTTCTGCCTATTTTGAACATAAAATCAAATATTACATTCTATCGATTTTATTTGGATGGAATTAATATCCGACTAACTTCATCAGAAATTGCCTAATCGCCTTTCATGTTTTATTTCTCAACAGGGAGGTAATCATTATTCTGACCTCTACTAGCTATTCTCTGGATGTCTTATATTGTTACTACCCTAAAATTGGTCAAACATTAAAGTCATGTATTTTACCTTTAAGCTCAGTTTTGTTTTGATTGTTGTGTGATGTAAAATGAATTCAACTGCCTTTGCGTAGCTGATTCAATTTGTCACCAATTTTTTTTTTTTTTTGCATCGTTTATTTCAGCTGGTGTCTCAATCACGTTGACCCGAAAGGCTGATTACCATTTTAGCCCCTTTGAGATTCCTGATACTGATACTATATGCCTTAAAGTACTCTCCTTGTCTGAATTTGACTGTAATGCCGAGGTATCATTACCTGCTATTTTTCTACGTACAGAGACAGATTAACGAAAAAGCAGATTGGAGGGGAAGTTGCTGGTATGCAAATTCTTCAGAGATCAATACATTAGCTAACTTAAGACGTGAAAAAAGTATAGCCTTATTGATTGAACAGAAAAAAAATTGCACGAATACCTAGCAGGTAAAATGGTCTTGCTTCAGCATTGACAGGAAAAAAAAAAAAAACAACGAAAAAACCCTTTTTGACCATGTTTTAACCATGTTTCATGAGTGGTGTTTAAAAAATTGAGGTTCGTTGTCCTCGTAGAAAAAAACAAAGAGTTCAAGGAGAGTCATGAGTCATTCTTGGTCAAAAAATTTCTTTTCAGTTTTTGGTCCAATTGAATTTTACAAATCCTCAGCTTTAATTCAAGACTAAGTTTTTTTTTAAAAAAAATCTGATCATTACCTTATTAGTTGCGCAAAGTTTCGTGACACACAGAGTAATGAAATTCAGCACCCTGATAAAGCCATTCCTGCTTGTGACCAAAACTTACCATAGGGAAATTTTCTCAAAACAGAGTCCTTCAACCCTGTGTTAGGTACATTTTACAGGATTAATTGGATGGATTTTCACAAACTTTTTTTCCTTGGACTACAGACGATAGGACTTTCTCTAATTCCTACTCAAAAAAGAAAAAAATTCAGTGTGAACTTCTGGAGGGCTCTTTGGGTGATATATTTTTTCTAAGGTTCAAGAAATTTTCAGTTTTTCGAACTTTAAAAAATCCTGTTGTGTAGAGTCAGAAGAAAGCCTAAAAAATCCAACAAAAAAGTTTCTGAAAATGTAACCATCTAAGTACCTGGCACAGATCGCAGTATATTGCAACTACATGGTAAACTTATTACTACTGCATCGGAGAGTTATGCATGTTGCCTGTCTACTGATAGAAGGCACACGGCACATTGAAATTTATTGCAATAAAATTGAAATAAGTTGCAATTTTCATTGCACTGCATATTGCCTATCTTTCTGACAAATGGAACTCACTGTGTTGATTGTTCAAAATCGGCATTCATTGACCCAAGGATATAAAAATATTGGAATTTCATGGTATAACAATTTCAATTTTTTTTTCAATATTTTCATTGCACCGTGCTACTTAGCCAGTAGAACTCGAAAAAAGTGTACCTTGACATCAAGAAATGTTACATTGTGAAGGTAGGGACTCATGACTAGAAAAGTTCTCAGTTGCTTTCTATCTATCTCTTATTTGTCTGCTTTTCAAGAAAAATACTGAGGTTCTCATGCTCATCATCTCCAACAGCAGATGTCCAGCAAACTTCAGTCAAAGTTACACAGTGGTCTCGAAGCAAAAAAATAAAAATAAAAAAAAAAAAAAAAAAAAAATTGCGACAAAAATGTATCGTAAAACGGTTTGCAGGGGGTGAGTCTATGGTACTTGTGGACTCAAAATCGCGAAAAATCAATATCTTGGCTGATCCGAATTTCGAGGTATCTCAATTTGAAATTTTCATAGCAAATACAAGTTTTCCTCTGATTTTGATCAGCTTTTTTATTTATTTTTCCAATGAATCGGTGTTGATTGGTTCACGTTTTTATTTTTCGTTCGATTCATGTCGATCGAATACATTACTCTATCGACACATGCAGACTACCTATCATACTCTTTTTTTAAATGAACAATTCGCCACCTGCTGCGTCCACAGCACTTGATGTTGTGCATATGTTGAGCTTGCTGATTTCAGCTCATTGCATACTTGACTCTCTGAGGGCGTTTTGAGCGAGAGCAATTCGCCTTCAGTTGCGTCTGCAGCAATTGTTGTTGCTAATATGTTGTGCGTGCTGATTTTAGCCCATTACATACTTGACCTTCTGAAGGCGTTTCATGTGTGCTAGTAGCGCAGTCTGTCGGAGATCAACGGAAGTGAGATTGAATGAATCGCTCAATCCTTATTTCGTTCGTTCTCTGACAGATTGCGCTACTTGCACACATAAAACGCCTTCAAAGGGTCAAGTATGTAATGGGCTAAAATTAGCACGCACAACATATTCGTAACAACAATTGCTGCAGACGCAACTGAAGGCGAATTGTTCATTAAAAAAAAGAGTATGATAGGTAGTCTGCATGTATCGATAGAGTATGTATTCGATCGACGTGTATCAAACGAAAAATAAAAATGTGAACTGATCAAAATCGACTCAATGGACAAATAAAATAAAGCTGTTGAAAATCAATATGAAATGTGCATGTGCTACGAAAATTTCAAATTGCAATATCTCGAAGTTAGGATCAGCCAAGATTTTGATCTTCCGCAATTTGAGTCCCCACGTTCCATAGATTTACCCCTGCAATCCATTTTTGGGTACATTTTTGTCGCATTTTTTTCTTGCCTCAAGACCACTGTGGTTAGGTGACCGGGAATCAAATGTAGTTGGTCCTGTTGGTCATCAAGTGGACCCCAATTTTGTAACGCCGCAAAAAGAGGCTATCTTAGTATATGACGCACTTTTTTGGAGGGATTCATCTCCGGGAAAGTTATCTCTTCATCAAGGCAGCGTTCCCAAGTTAAAACCTTCAAAACACACTACGCCCTCAAAAATTGAGGTAATAAACTGCGATTATCGCTAAATTTTTTCAAAAATGTTTTTTATTACAATATGCTTAATTTTTGGGTGCTTTGTAAAGTTAAACATTCCTTGTTACCATTTTTCATATTTTTTTTTTTAATTTCTGAATTTTTGTCGTTTTTGCATAACCCTTAAGAACTAGTTTTTGCGAGCTTCACCATTTACGGATGGTTCAGGTTCACTTACGGAAGTTGCAATTGAGAAAAAAAATTTCTTTTTTTATCCTACTCATACTTACTCAAAGGATTTGCCCTTTCCCAACTCGTAGCAGGTATGAAGCACTGCTTGATGTTCAAATGATGAGAGTGTTTAATTCCGATTTGAGAACTTGCATGGTAATCATTTAATGCTCAATCAGATTCATAAAACTGATCACCACACCCTAAAGGCTGATGGATCTACAAAGACATTTTTATGGTTTGAATGCAGTTTTTTCTGCAACAACTCTACGGAATTGGTACTTTTTTTCTTTAATGTTAGTCTCTGAATCAGCGAACTCATATAGAGATGGTAGGATCGCCCGATTATCAAAATCTGCCGGAATCAAAGTTGATATTTTGATTTCATGTGAAATAACTGATATGCTATTCGCCTTTAGTTATGACATAAAAAAATACGATGTCTTGTCACCCAGTTTTTCGGGATTTCCACGCAGTTGAAGGGCTCGTGGGAGGGTGAAAATGCTCGCTTCAGGGTCTTCACAAATCACAAGTAGCTTTTCTCTTGGTTCGATGAAATACGCGTTTTGAACTTGACTGCCTCTGAAACATAAAAACAAAATAATAGGTCACAAAAGATCCATTCTCATTCATTAAATTTGTTTCATAAGTCTTAATGGGTATCTAACATCATAGTCATGTCGATTTTCCTTGATTTTGGACGGGAATCAATATTTCGAATTATGATCCCACGTAGTTCGCGAGATAAAATTATATTGATAAAATTATATTAATTATATTATAATTACATTGCAAGTAAGTAAAATTGTATAACCACTCAAAATGCAGGCGTTTTTAGTTTTGTACAAATTCAAAATCGTGTTGACTGAAAGATGGTTTACATATGAACTAAAATTTCGGGGTTTTTTGATCAGGCTGAAATTAACCTGTAAAATGACCTGATGGGTCCGATTTTCCGGTCTGAAAACATGCGTAGAACCGTTAGCGCTTGGTCCCGAAGCTCCACGGGGCTTCTTAAGCCAAGAGACGAGTTTTTTTTACCATTTCTTTAATTTCCCCGCTAGCGTTATTCGCCTATCGGGCAAATCAACCAACTCGTAACGCTATTCAGCCTGAAAAATCAGACTTCTTCAGATATTTTACAAGGCACTGGGCTTAATTTCAGCTCGATCGGATAACTCCCAACTTTGACACGGCAATTTAAATTCATTTAAACCATATTACAGTCAACACGCTCTTGAATCTGCGCAATACAAAAACGCCTACATTTTGAGTGGTTATGCAATTTTACCTGCTTAGAAGGCAATATAATTGTATCACGTCATGCGGCAAGGAGGCCGAACGAACGAAGTATGACAGTTGTAGCTCAGCTTACAGTCTTCCATTTTTCGATTTGAAATGCACCACGATGAGCTAAGTGGTTTCTATAATCAGCGACCAACGGAACGGAGCAGAATTTAATCGTGGTAAAAAGTCAAAACGCAGTTTTTACAATAGGCTGATTTAATGGCTACGTCTTGGTCCCATAATTGTAAGAAAATTCATACATATAGCATTTTAAGCGTGCCAGTAGGGCTCGCTTTTTGAAATCACTCGGATGTACCATAGTACAGCACACCGATCAACCAATGCTATTCAACGGGCCGTCCAAATATTTTTTTCCTCGGACCCGTTTTCTTGTCTTTGAACCATTATACTGTCAAGCCCTGATGGTCTCTTACCAAAAAACCGAATGAACTGCTAATTGGGAACCCTTGAGAACATTTTCCTGTCAAAACCGTATTATTTCATTATTTTCATTTGACAAAAACCTCATAGAAGCTTTCTTACGCTCGGAGGACTCAACTCTAGAACCTTCTTTCCCGCCAAAACTGTTTAGCCAATGAGCGTCTTGCACTGCAAGTGCAATCTGTGATGAGCCTCGTGACTCTTTATACCATGTACTAACCGTGGCCCCTGCAGAAATCCACTCAAACCACTGCAGTTATCTCCCGATATAGCTTTGGGTGTCAGGTTTCGAGCAAGGCAATGAAAGACGGCGAGGAGAGGGTCGCCTCGTCGAACCTATTATCTTCCACGCCCGATTAACCATTCACCGTGACGCCAGGATCCACCAAATTTTCACAAAAATTGTTTTCCGTCTATTTAGCGAGTTTTTCCTTACTTTCCGTTAAAGTACAAATAAAAAGAGACCTCATTTGTAAAAATCGGCCGAATAGGAGAGAAGTTACAGTTCAAAATCCAAAGAGATTAACTCAACGCGATTTCGATGCACGGCAGTTCGCCCAAATCACGGTCGTGCGAAATGCCGCATATCAGCTTAAAATCAAGATAATTGGACGGAATCTTTAAAATCAATTTACATTCAACGTTCATGAATCAATATTTTCTCCCAAATTTAGCAAAAAGTACCAATTGATGCAAATAACAAAGACGTGAAAATAGTAGGTATGTGTCCAATATTTTAGTTATTCGGCACGCTTTTCCAACATATTCATGTTGGATTTTTCTGCTTGTTTTCTGATTCGCTCCTTTCGCACCATGGTGGTAAAATGCGTCCCAGAGTTTCTTGCAATCGAAATCGTGAAGGCGATTCGATATTTTGACGCTATATTTTGTGTCAAAGCGACCTGCGATATATTGCATCGACTAGTTCCATTTTTTCAGCTATACTTGCCATATTCCTCGAATTTTAAGATCGAAATTCTATTGTCAGGAGACCAAAGAATTCACTTTCCAATTTTGACGAACGAATTCAATGTAATGAAGGCTTGGTTTTTTTTAGAGGAAAAATATAGCATTCGATACTGATATCGAAACTGCACTCGAATTCGATATTTTCTCTCTAAAAAAGCACGCCTTTATTAATTGAATTTCTTCGTCAAAATTGGTAAGTGAATTCTTTAGTCTCCTGACGACAAAATTGCGATTTCAAAGTTCGAAAAAAATGACGAGTAGCTGGAAAAATGGAACCCATCGATGCGATAAATCGCATGTCATTTTCACACAATATTATCACACCTTGACAAGTTTTTAGTAGTTTGATTGAGTTGATCATCCAATATCATCGGAGTAGGTACGTGCAAGAAGTCATGAAAGAAGCTTGAAGAAAGGTCAAATGCGGAGGAAGATAATCCAAGCTAAATATTTTGAAAATTAATTTTGGGGAAGTAAGATCGTTATTCGTGATGAAGCGTGTGCCGTGTATAGCACTTGTCCCTCTCAGCGCTTTCAAGTCTCCTTACCTCCGACCTAATCTTTGCCTTTGATTCTTCGCATTCGTCAGAAATGAACACCTCCAAACATCAAAGGAAAACCCCCTTCCAAATCTTATATTAAACAGCCATTGCTGACGCTCACCTTTCAGTCGAAGATTTTTCATCACTTCGTAAATCCTCGTTTCAGAGTAGCAGAGTACCCAGTTCCCCTCTCAAAACTCAAGTTTACCATTTTCCGTAAGGAGCCGTTCAAGTATTATGTAATTCGTTTTTCCCGTTTTCTCACACCCTCCTCCCCTAACTGCAAACCGTCGCACCTCGGACGGAAGGGCGTATCTGAATTTGAACGTGAGCCCTGTTTCCCATGTAAATCAATGATTTCTGGGGCTCTTACGGAAATCGAGATACGCTCTTACACAGGTGGAGTGACGAAACTGCCTTCGCCCATCATGATTTGTGTAACACTTGTTAACACCATTTTTCCCGGATTCTGATCGAGTTTTTGACGAAATATTACCCTGAAATCTTTTTCCGACCAGAATAAACGAAGGTCTGAATACGGACGTAAAGTAAGCGCACCTCCGCAAATGAATGGTAACGCTTTTGGAGCTACTTTGGAGTCAAAAGATTTGTACTCACATTTTTCCCATTAATACATCGTGTTCTTCTTGGAGGAGTCCATTCCTAGGTTGTGATTCATAACTGATTAAGAATCCTAACTACGGAGGCTCAGAAGGCGCAAACCCTTTGAGCTGGCAACCGAAGTACCCGATTAACCCCCATATATCATCGCAAAATCCCTTGATTGAGGGTGGCTTTAAACAATAGTGATATGTTTGGTATTATTCTTAGTATTAATTTTTTTTTTTTTTTTTTCCCTGTACAAAGTATATGGTATCAAAATTTCACTGTTAAATGTTAGGTTTATACTCATCACTGTGTGGTTAGTATAATGCTGTTCCGGTTGTTCGGGGTCGGACACCGCAGATACCGGGAACTATACCGTTCTCTATGGGCTCTGCGATGCTCGTCCCAGGGCATCCAAGTTAGGAAAAAGTCTGTATAATTGTATATATTTTCAGTCGATAACCGTTATTTATTTTTAAGTTACATCTAAATATCTTATTTCTGTACAGAAGTTGATATGTTTAAAAAAAAAAAAAAAAAAAAAAAAGATTAAGAATCCTCATCCCTCAAAGATATGACGGTGATATTGCTGTCCAAAATTTTGATTTTTGCAAGTAATCGAGAGCAAAAGCCATTGAAACTTTCATTTTTAGGCGCTCAACAGTTTTTTTTTTGTATTTAACATTATGTGGGAAAGGGCTTTTGCAACGTTGAAAGCCGGTTAAGTTCTTACGTTTGAGGAACGTCGAATAGCGCAGCATACGAAGCAGTTTCAGGACATTCTGTCAACGATTTTTTGTTCACGCACCTGTTTTGTCCAGTTCTTTGCGTACACGCGTAAAATAAGCAAAATTTACTTAGTCCAAGTCTATATTTTAGTCCATATGTAAAATTATACATATTGAAAATATCGAAAGGAGAAAATTGAGAGGAAGGAGGTGTTGTTATGGTAACTCATTTTTAAATGAAATATTACTTTCTTCTTTTGATTCATTTTTCAAATTGTCATTGCTGAATATTTGGTTTTATTTCTGTCATTAACAGTTTCAATGTAAAATATACATACCTCATATATACAATTTTTTTCTTAAAATAAAAATATTACTTCATTTTAAAAACATTTACATTTTTAAGACGTGGCACATATTTGTAAAACCTTTTCCAAGCGATGATATCGATATTCATCTCAATGAGCTGCAGTGATGTCGAAAGAAACTGTACACAAATGAATAAAAAATGGGAAAAAACCAAGAAGCTTGTAATCTTTAGTTTTAACCGATTTGGACATCGATCTTTAAGAGTCAAATATGTCCAAATTTGAGCGTTTGGTTGCGCGTACACCACGCTGCAGCACAATCAAATCACAAAAATAAAAGAAAATATTAAATTGCTTTGGAAATCAGTGAAGTCGACACGGATTACAATATTTACAAATTACACATTATATTTTCCTTTCATGCATATTATTTTCCATCAATTTAAATGAGAATGATCCACGCAGAATATGCAAACATTTCAAAATCATGAGTTGAAAAATGCTGACTCCGCGAGTTTAAGTATCACAGCTTAACACAGAGCAAAGCGGCGTGCTGCCAGCGCAAAGCTCGCACGGGCGCCTACAAACCTAAAGGGATACTCTACGCATTGCGCAATGCTTGAGGTATCCCCTTAGGTTTGTAGGCGCTAATGCGCGTTCCGCGATAGCCTGCTGCACACGGCGCGGCGCCTCGCACATGT